CCCTTTAACATTTAACCACACTATCACACATCTTTAGACTGTGGGAGGAAGCCAGAGTACCCAGAGAGAACATGCAAACTCCACACAGAAAGGCTCCGGCCAGATGGTGCATTTAAACTCAGAACTGCCACTCTGCAAACAAGAAATAGAAAAACTTAATGTTCAGTGTGGAATTTAAACGGATAATTCTGCAGCTGGTTTTAAAATATGATCAGAACCTTTTGAATCTAGCGGTTTTTCTTGAGCTGTTGCTTTCAGTGATATTTTTAAACAGTCCCAGCAACTTTTAATGCAAATTAAGAACTTTCACATCCTTTTACCAGTTCCCTTTATATTTCCATACAGTCTGAGGTTCACAGTACTGCAGAGATGACCTTGAATCATAACATAAGCCTGTTCTTTCACGTAATTTTGCACAACAGTGTAAAAAGCATACAGGTTCTGCATATGAGACAGAAGTCCCAGCAGTACACTCTCCTTATAAAAGTCAGCATTTTCATTCAGACCTGGTCTTCAGGAAAAACATTAGATGAAGCCCACAGCAGATTATTTAAGTCTGCATTTTTTAGACCAGGATTAATTCCAGCTTCACTCTCTGTTAAAGTCATTGTCCAAAATCGTCACATTTTAACACTCACCAATGTCGCTTATGGTTGTGAAATGGAGAAATAACATTGCTGTACAGTGTTGTATGTAAAAGTTTCAGCATGTCACACTGAGCAAGCAGCTTTAGGTGCCAAATAAGTTTTTCCAAGTCTTTGTAAATTGAGCACAAGCTCAGATGATTACTGTGATTTGTCCATGCTGTTGTATAAAGACTGCTGTTGTTTCTGTTGAAATATTAGAAATCGATTTGACACAGAATGAACTGTAGCTAAAAGATGGGCCGCGTGTCAAAATGTAGATAAAAATTTGACCTTTCATATCATTTATCTAACAATGGTTTTATTTCATATTTTAAAAATAAAAAAATCATATTACTATTGCCTTGAAGGTGGTACCACTATGACCTGTCTCGCCATGCTGCAGAGGCCCTTCTCTTGTCCAATGGGACGGATGGAAGTTACCTCCTGAGAAACAGTAATGAGGGATCAGACTGCTTCGCCCTGTCCGTTAGGTGAGTGAACGAGGGAAGTGCACCATGGGTTTGGAACCGTAACAGACAATCAGTGACAAAACAATGATGTCACAACAGATGCAGAGTTATCTTACCTGATTATAGCTTTATTTTTTGCTTTTAGTTAAATTTGCCTTGCTCCCCATGTCTTGTCTTGCACAGTTTGGTTTCTCACTGGTGTGTTTAGTAATAACAGAGTCACCAGATCCCCTTAAAGTCGAGGTTAAAGGTTTAAGTTTTTCATTGCAGTTTTCACCAAGTATTCTAGTATTAGTCACACAAAGCGTGTGTGTGTGTGGACGGGTATTAACATCTTCATGGGGACCAAAAATTGGTAGTTTACTATACTTGTGGGGACAAACAGCCCTCGTGGGGAAATCCCCCACGAGTTTGAAGGCATTTTTGAGACTCAAAATGTGGTTTTAGTGTCAGGGTTACAATTAGGTTATGGTTAGGATTTAGGTAAGGATCAGGGTTAGGCATTCATTTTTGATGGTTAGGGTTAGGGTAAACGGCTAAGGAAAGCATTATGTCAATGAGATGTCCCCACAAGGATATAAATACACACACATGTGTGTGGGGAGAAAGACAGAGAGGTGATAGTGAACCACCTAGAAACACTTTGTTAAAAGCAAGTATGTGAATCTTAACAATGATGAAGAAAGGAAACACGTACTTGCTAAATTTTGAAGCTAAATATCTGCAGGTCTGTGGTTAGTGTACTTCTACTTGTGAATGACTTTTAAAGTGAAACATTTATGCTGTTTGTCATTTGACATAGGGCAAAGGATTCAGTGAAGCATTTTCAGGTGACACGAAATAGCAATGGCTATGTGTTTGGTTTTAATGAGTTTCCAACCCTTCAAGACTTTGTCAACCACTTTGCTAACCAACCTCTGCTGGGCAGCGACACAGGTATGCAGACCATGATCTTCATCAAAAAACGTAATGCTAGCTATGATGCACACATAAAGACTGCATTAAAACACACCCAAGAAGTATACTGACAAACAGGAATGTACGTCCATCTTTATTTCTTCCGTGTTTTAAAGTCGGCTTGCCGGGCATATAACCAACCTTTGTCTCTTAACCAGGAACCCTCATTGTTTTGAAGAGTCCGTATCCATGGCGTGTGGAGGAGCCATCTATTTATGAATCTGTGCGAGTTCACACTGCCATACAGACAGGACGCACAGAAAATGATCTGGTAGCAAATGCACCTTCGGTACGACAACCATTGCAAACACCCATGTAGTCTCATGTGAGCAACATCTGGCGAATTTCGTGGGAAGGGCTCTTTTTCGTCATAAATACAAGCTCGCAGCTCTCACATGTTTAAATATTAAGTAGTGTGCTCTGATGATGCCTAAACAATTCGTAAAGTCTTTTTTTTATTATGGAGACTTTTTTGTGCTCAAATGATCAGGCTTTGCAGTTGTGATAAGCACGTTTGGATTCAACTAGCAACAACTGCAATAAGTTCAGATTTCTCCCTCAGTCTTTATGTACAGACAATGATTATCTGACCACAGCAACTTTTGGTGTGATAAACCTTTTTTATTTTCTAGGTGACCTATTACTCTGTATTGTACGTCACATTACTTTAAATAAAATCTAAATATGTTGCATTATTCGTAATGGGTATTCACACAAGTTATTTTAACTTAAAGATTATATAGCCAAGACTTATTCACAGTATGCAGCTTAAACTGGAATAAACCACAGTTATTCTTGAAATGTTTACAATTTAAAATGTACTTTCTATTTTTTCAGCTGGGGACAAAGGAAGGCTTCCTGGTGAAGCAAGGGGCAATTGTGAAGGTAACAGCAGTTGACATGCAAGAACAGTTACTGACAGAAATCTTATGTAACTGTGTGAAACAAGAATAATTCAGAAACATGGCTTCAGAGCTTGAGATGAAGTAACATTGAAGTAACTGATTTGATTTGATTTTGATTTTATATATGCTGTCAATCTTTTCTGCAGAACTGGAAGCAAAGGTGGTTCACGCTCAACAGATATGAACTTAAATACTTCAAAGACAAAATGGTAAGTCTGCTCAGCTCAGTGGTGCAGTGGCTAGCACTGCCATCTTTCAGAAAGCTTATGTTCTTCTTCCATGAACATCTTATGTGACTTCTCACTGTCACTGTCGGTGAAACTCAAAGACCGACGTGCTCAAACAAGCTTCTTTCCAACAATTCTGCACCGCAACACCCTTCACCCGCTAGCACTTCCATATAGAATAACAGTACATCTCTCTCTTTAATGATATAAACATACTAAACGTAAAAATATTGGATATATATAAATATAATTTAAAAAAACTGACATGACTAAGAATTAAGTCTTGACTAGCAACAAGCAAAATAAACTACGAAGCAAGCAACTTGTAGACAGATACGATCACTCACAGCCTTAGTAAATGAAACCTTTTCAACTGCATATTTCTGAAAAACCCATTGCTTTGAGCCTTTAATTGCTCATTTTGCCTGTCTCCCTACCTACTGAGTGACAAGAATACGTACAAATCAAGAGAGCGTGACCAGTACATTGCTCAGAAAGTCCGGACAGCACGCTTCATCGCAGCAATACGGTCCCTGAGGGCACGGACTGCATTGAACACTAAAACTGCAAAAGAAAAATTGCAAAAAATCAAAATGTGGCCTGCAGAAAACTGCAAAGAAATCTGAAGAAAAACTGCAAAAAAATCTAAAGCTAAAAATCTCAAGAAAATGTGCAAACAAGACAAAAATAAAGAAAGAATGTTTGAGATAGAACACCAGTCAAACTTGATGGTTTCATTCAGGACTAATCAGGTATTAAGTCGAGCCAACGGCTCAAGCCGCACTCAAACTGGCGGAATGCGACTAGCTTGTGAAATGATAGCCTCCGTCGGTGCCAGTCTAGACATGATATAACTGACTTTCATACTTGTTCAAATAAGGAACATATGTAATTTCTACATATTGTGTGATTTGATAAGTATCTAGCTACAGACTGTAAAATGATGTGGCTATTTATACACTTAGAACGAAATAACAAAGCTAATCTTGTCATGATGTCATTCACTTGGTTTATTAATGCCTTAAACTATTTATACAGCGTGACGACTCGAACATGAGCTTCAGTAGATTCAGTGCTTAATTCCACCTAATCCTAACATTGTACGATAATTATATAGAAAATAGTCTTAATAGTCATTACTATCTCATGCTACTTAAAATACAGCTGTGAAACTTCTAATGAATAATGATATGAAATCCTTTAGGTGGAAAATCGACATGATAACTTGCTCAATAGTACAGAGCTTAAAGGGACTCGTAATGGGTCACTGGCAAGCAAACTAAATCCTATAGAATTATGAAAAGTCTTATCAAATTAACATATACATTCACAAATGTAAACCAGCTACGTCAAACTCAGCTTTAGAACTGAAAACATATTAGCCCTGTGCTGTCATACAGGTTCTGAATAACACTTTCGCCTTTTTTGTATGGCCGAGATTTCCACACTAACGGAGAATTATTGACACCATAATGATTACGAGAGTAAATTCTAGCATCTTCACAACAGGAACATCTGTCACCCAGATCGCTGGCCCCCTCTCTCACACACGCGGTGTATCGGGGTGCAAGCTACGATGATGTCAGCAGGGTCCTAGTGCTCTTGGCATTGATCGCACAATGACACATGTAGCTAGATTAAAAGTGACTAACCATGCATCTTATTCCAATCAAAAAAAGAAGAGTGAGCACGCGTGCAGCAGCTTACACTGCTCAAACAGGAGGTTGTACTGCTACGAGTCCCGAGTGCAGTGACACATGGGACGCGGATAGCCTCTTTCAGCTAACGAGAACCTCAGCTCGTAAAACATTAGTCCGTTGCTCGCACCAGAAGGGCAAACATAGCTAACATAACATCAAATTGCTTCCGGTATCAGATGAACAGAGCATCCTACTTCACCTGTTTTGTGAAGAGACTTTATTTCAAATCATCACATTCTGTAGATTAGTCGACATTAACGGACAGAAAAATGAAACAGACCTTAAAGTTTACTTTGGGCCACTCTTAAGTGTTCCAGTCCAGCTTGTTACATTGGCTCACGGCGTCGGTATTGCTCCAGAAACATGTGTTTTTATTCGTTGTTTCCTATTCGTGTTTTTTATCGTGTTTCTATTTGTCTGTTTGACTTCTGCAGCATCTTTGAGCATTTCTTGAATTTTTCTTTGCAATCTTCTGAGCATTTGGTGGGCCCGAAGAGTTTCTCCTGCCAGTGTACTTCTGACCACACAGCCTGATTTTCTTTAGCCTGCCAAAAGAGAGGACAAAACTTTCCTCCTTTACCCATAAGGACGATTAATGCCCCTCCTTGAGTACAGCCATCAGGAAGGTTACCAAATGAAGCATCACTGAAAACAACCAATTTTCAATTTCAATTTTATTTCTATAGCACATTTAAGAGTCACAGGTACAACAAAGTGCTTCACAGACGAGCCATATTTGCAGATTTACAACAAAAGAAAACAGTCAACAACAAAGAAATACAGTTATAGGATGGTAATATTATAACAAGCACGAACCGGGAGGAAATTATACTAATAGTTTGAAAGGCGAGCTTAAACAAATGGGTTTTTAACCGTGATTTGAAAGATTGATAGTTTCCGACGCACGGACATCAACTCGGCAAGCTGTTCCAAAGTTTTGGTGCAGCAAAAGCAAAGGCACGATCCCCTTTCGTCTTTAGTCGAGACATTGGTTGCATTAGGAGCCCCTGATTAGAGGATCTGAGTGCCCTTGATGGGGATATATAAATTAAGAAGGTCAATCAGATACTAGGTGCCAGGTTATTTAAAATTTTAAAAGTGTATAAGAAGGATTTTAAAAACAATACGGTATTTGACAGGAAGCCAATGGAGGTTAGCTAGAATAGGAGTGATATGATCCTGTCTTCTAGTGCCGCTTAAAAGGCGTGCAGCGGCATTCTGGACTAATTGTAGGCGTTGGATGAGGGACAGTTGCAGGCCTAGGTAAAGAGAATTACAATAGTCCAGCCTAGAGGTTATAAAAGCATGAATGAGCCTTTCAAGGTCCTTGTGTTGTAGGTAAGGCATTGCCTTCGAAATTTGGCGTAGTTGGAAGAAGCTGGTTTTTACTACTGCAGCCACTTGCTTATCTAATTTGAGGGAACTGTCCAGCACTACTCCAAGATTTCTTACAGTAGACGATAGGTGACTGGCATAAGAACCTAAGGTCCCCGATAGCTGTTTCAACGGCATGTGGCTACCAAAGACGATCATTTCTGTTTTATTTTCGTTGAGGGTGAGCGAATTATGCAGTAGCCAGTCTTTGACGTCACACAGGCAGTTAAGCAACGGCAATAGCGGGGATTGGAGATCCAGGTCTAGAGGGAAGTAGATTTGGATATCATCCGCATAGCAGTGGAAAGAGATATTGTGGTTCCTGAAAATTTTTCCCAGGGGTAGCAGATAGAGAGAAACAGTGTGGACTTAACACAGACCCCTGGGGCACACCACAACGGAGAGGTGCAGAGGAGGAAGAGTGATTTCCCATAGAGACAGAGAAAGACCTCTCAGTTAGGTATGATTTAAACCACGAGAGTACTTTGCCTCTAAGACCAACTACATGTTCAAGCCTTGAAAGGAGAATATCATGGTCGACCGTATCAAAAGCAGAGGACAAGTCTAAAAGAACTAAAACCACAGGGCGCCCTGTATCAACAGTTACGAGGAGATCATTAAAAACTCTCAGTAAGGCTGTCTCGGTACTGTGGTGGGGTTTAAAACCAGACTGGAATTTTTCATTGATTCCATTTGCCTCTAAGAAAGATTGCAATTGCTTAAGAACAATTTTCTCTAAAACTTTAGCCATAAAGGGGAGTTTAGATATCGGCCTATAGTTTGAGAGGACATTTGGGTCAAGATTACTTTTCTTAATAATAGGTTGGATAACTGCATGTTTAAACATAGCGGGGACGCTGCCTGATAGCAGTGATGAATTCATTAAAAGTAAAATCCAAGGTCCTATAGTGTTCAGGGCATTTTTAATAATGCGAGATGGAAGCACATCATGGCGGGAATTAGAATTTTTCGTTTGGGCTATTATTTCCTTAAGGGTCGAAAAGGAGACAGATTCAAACTGTTCTAGTACCGCCAGGGATTCGGACATTAAGGATGTGTCTTCAGTGGGTAGATATGAGGATCTTAATGCTGTGGTCTTATCTGAAAGATAGTTTAGGAATTTTTCGCATAGAGCTTGGGAGGTCTCGGTCTGGGTGGAGAGTGGATTTATTAACGAGTTAAAAATGCTAAAAAGGACCTGTGGCTTATGGCTATTAATCGCGATGATCTCTGACAGGAAGGAGGCTTTTGCAGTTTTAACAGCCTTCTGATATTTCTTCAGACAATTACGGAGAATATCAAAGGAGATCTGAAGTTTGTCTTTCTTCCATCTCCTCTCCGCTTGGCGGCATTCACGTCTGAGGGTACGGGTATGATCATTCATCCATGGTTGGCGGGACGGTTTGGGGCGTTTGATCTTTAGGGGAGCTACAGTGTCTAAAATAGAAATACAGGTGGCGATAAAGGAGTTAGCGAGATCGTTAACCGATGTAGCTGTATCCCAGTTAGCTTCGCAGAAGGCCGAGTCAGTCAGAGCCATAGAAAACTGAACAATAGTCTCCGAATTAATCATGCGTAGGTTTTGCACAGGACCCTCACGTTTCAGCTCCAAATTGCACACATTGACATTAAACAAAACCGGGAAATGGTCCGAAATCCCAGGATTGTAAATGTCTGTGATGCAGATGTCCAGACCGTAGGATAGTACCAGGTCAAGCGTGTGGCCTTTAATGTGGGTTGGTTTACTGACCCACTGGGTAAGGTTAAAAGAGTCTATGAGGGCTAAGAGGCTTTCGAGCCTATACAGCTTGGAGTAAGACAACATGCATGAAGAGGATGATGTGGACAAAATACTCATTTGCCTAATAATTCTGCACTCCCTGTATTTGTTAGCTGTTGTCTTCCTTTGGGCTTGAAACAAACTGTCCATTCTCCCCATCCCTTAGCATCAACTAAGCATTTTTGCCCAGAGAACTGCCACCAACTGAATATATTCGCTCTTTCTTTACAATCCAATGTAAACCATAGAAAAATGACAGTAGTTTCTAAACCACTCAGACCAGTCTGCATGGCACCAACAGTCATGCCACTTTCAAAGTCCCTTCTTTTTCATTTCTCATTCGGTGCCTAATTTGAATATCAGAAGGTCGCTCTGATCTGTTGAGGCCATACAGCAACTGAAACATCAGCTGTCCCACATTTTTGAGAAGTGTTTAGATAAAACTGGACAGCTAATCAGCGAAATTGGGCCAATCAAATGTGAAAAAGTGGCATTTCTACAAATGTAACTTTATTTTACTCATATAACAATGTAATATTATTAATAATATTTTTATGTGATATTGTTGTTAACATAATTTAATGGATTTAAATTATACTGAAACACATGGATTATTCCACCCTCTTGCAAGAAAGCCTACGTTTACTGTCTCCTTGATGCTTGAGATTTGGGAGCAGGAAGACAGTCTGACAAGGTCGAGGTATGAAAGAGGAGGAATGAGTCAGAAGCACGACAGCATACATGTATGTGAATGAGAGGCAAACATTCAGTGAAGATGCAAGGAGCAGAAGTAGTGAAGGCAGGTAACTATAAATACCTGAATCCATCCAATGTGCACAGGAGAGGTGAAGAGGAGAGTGCGTATTTAAACTGGATCTGCCCTTTAATCTTATTTAGTATAATAATTGTTTTATGTATGTCTTATTTTGACTTCTGTGTTTGCTTGTTTGATATTTTATTTTTATAAGTTATATATCATTTTATATGTAAGTTACTATGTGTGTGTGTGTGTGTGCGCATGTGTGCGTGTGTGTGTGTTTATCTGGTTAAATTCAGTTTGGTTCAGACAAGTCTTCACGATAAAAATCCTTAATATGTTTTTGAAATTTGGTTTTGAAACATGTAAATCTATTTTTCTGTTTCCAGGTTGTGTATCTATTCATTTAGTGGCACAGCAATTACTTACATCAATACTGTGATTTTAAACGAGGGCTTCTGTTTAAACTGCAGGACAGGTGAAAACCTGGTTGGATTCATTACAAACATAATCCAAAGCATAAAAACAAGGAGCTGAAAGCTATGACGAAAAAATAGAATAAATGTTTAAATATTGATTTCGTGTTCATCCTCACTGGTTTGCCAGTCAGTTACTAGTTTAGTTATGCTGGTATTGATCAGTCAAACCTGAGAAACTGATCAGTGTTTGTCTTACTGTCATTCAAGTACAGAGGTTAATTAGAGCCTTTGTTGAATGCTGAGCATCATAAGAAAAGAAAATAACGGGACGGTCTAGTATTAAGTCTTGACAGATAAATGCTTCACGCTCTGCTGCAAAAGCAGCCGTCAGTAATTTTTCCAGACCGTGGTCAAATTTGGTGCCATTTTTTGCCTACACACCTAACTTCTTACGTCAAATGATGTGCCGCACAGGTTCACCAGATTCTCGCACTCTGCCAAATCACCACAGCTTACACATGAACTGTGTGTGAGCTCCAATCCCGTCCCAAGCACGACACCAGTGCGTTTGTTCAAGAAAGATTATATAAAGATAAACATTGGGTGTGATTTTTAAACAGACGCTGAATGAATCACATGGATGGATTACTTTCACATACTTTATTCATAAAATCGCAGATGCATACTTCTCATTCATACAAAACGCAGCCAATGATATTCAGTGTTCTTTGGAGTCAAAATCTTTTACTGAACCAAAACTTCAGTTCTGGCTGTGATGTACACTTCAGTGCGGCACATCAACAGAAACCTTTCCTTCAGTTTCAGGTATACTTTTCTCAGGGGAGATTGTGCATCAGTAGAGGTATCAAGTGCAACTCTCTGCATGTGCGTAGCTCTCACGCTAAGCTGGGCTCCAGGCCAGCGTTGTCGGCACCCGCCGAGCGCCTGTTGGTTTTGGAGTGGGTCATGTTCCAGCGCTGCATTCTCCTGCAGTAATTTTCAGAGTCCACTGTATCCATGTGAGCTGATTTCAAAACTGTAGATGGGTGCAGTGTGTTGCATAAAGCTTGAAAAAACAGCCTGTAGAGAAGAGCACATCAGTCAGTCCTCTAGAGCTGTGGCTGCACGTGACATTTTCAAACTTCATTGATTTCGCCTTTTTTTCTATTAACGACTTCGCTCTAAAGCAGTGGTTCGGTTTAGACTCTGCTTCATGCTGATAAAAGTCCTAATTTAGAAAACAATATGTAACGTGACATTTTGCTTAGACTTTAACAAGCAAGCGGTTCCTTGTGGAGTGCCAGCCAAGTCTGGCTCCTGACATATATGATGGTGCTGTTACAGGTTTGTTGCCTTACAATTAAGTAACGTCAAACCTTACACCCTCAACATTGACTGAAAACAGCTCAGTTAGTTTGTGAGTAAAGAACTATACTCAAGACAAAAACACATCACAACAACACGTCACCTTAAGGTACTCTCACTCACTGATAAGGGAAAATAAAACTAACCCACTCTAAGTTTGATCAACCCCCATTTCATTCCAGTCAGTTTTAGGAACACACACACCAAAAAACCCCTCTGGGTTTTTTAAAAATGCGGACCAAAAGAAGGAAGTTTGGCCCTTCCAAACAAAATATGCACAATATATGACATTTTATTACTTCTTCTTCTCTTTAAACAAATAGACCAGGCCGTTCGAGGTAGGCCACTCCTGGTCCGCTGTTGGAACGAACTCCTGATGCAGCCGTTTGTTTAGCCTACCCTCAGACTTACTAAGTGAGGAGGATATAATATGTTTGTGTTAGACGGAGTGAGTGGGCTGAGCCCCTACTGAAACCCCAAAACCATGAAATCCAGCTGGTTAGCTGGGCTTGGACGTATATGCAATAAAAAAAACAACAGAATAGGTGGCCTTCTGGCTATCAGTGTAAAATCATGCATCATGCATATGTTACGTACTACACACACTATGTAAAGTATGTTTTTAATCATATAAAGTCACATTAAAATAGTTTTATTTGTTCCTGTGAAAAACTGAGTGCAACTCATGATTCAGTGGCTTATAGAAAGTCCTTTAACAGTCTGTGTCATCACTGGGGAGGAATTCTGCTGCACTCTTCTCTTTGTTTCTTCAGCTGTTGAGATTTCCAGGCATTTGTTTCTGCAGCGCTCTCTCAACATCCAACCGCAGCATTTCAATTTCAGTTCCTTGTTTCTTTTCTTTTTCAGCCACTCAGTAGAGTTGCTGATTTACTTGAGGTCACTGTCCTGTTGCACAGCGTCAGTGACAGCAAAGTGCCCAGGTCCTGTAGCTGCAGCATAACAAACTGTTCTCGTTTGCTCGGATGCAACCTAAACCATACTGCTGTTCTCTTTACATGAACAGACTTTCTCCTGAAAACTCTTACAAGCAAGCCACACTTGCTCAGCACCACCAGTAGTGGGTGCAGCTATCAATTATTTTAGTAATCAAGTAATCCATTTATCATTCCACTGTTTAATCAAGTAATCAGATAAGAAATACTTTTGTCTTATTAATGAGAAATAGTAACTATTCAAAAGAGAAAGTTGAACTGCATACAACACCTGTCAAAAACCCCTCAACCCTTTGATTGTATGTACGTACCATATTTAAATTAAACTTTTAAAGAAAACTTTTTCTTAAATGCAAAATTATATAAATAATCTCATGTACTGTCAAAGGTCAAATCAAATAAGATAAATGTACCTTTGCTCTGTCTGCCTGAAAAACTTTCAAATTAGAGAGCAAGTTTTTGTGCTGCTGAAAACAGATGTAACGATGATGAACACATTAAGTAATGTAAATAATATTTAAGTATTCAACCCGTAGCTGGACTGGCCATCGGGCATACCGGGCATTTGGGCCGATGGTGATTTTTCGTTTTTATGGGCCGATGTTTTTTTGTTTGTTTGTTTTTTTGTTTTTTTGTAACGGTATAGACAATAAAATGTGGTGGATTGGCCAGATGCTGGCAGATGTGTAAAATGTAAAAATAACTCAGTTGTTTGGTGGTGGCATCGCGGAGCTTCCACAGATTCAGTAACATTAGCAAGTGGTGGAGGCCAGCAGGTGGATGAGGGAAAGGGGAGGCAGGAGGAGCAGAGACCCGAGGCAGCCACCAGTCCGAGTGTCAGGTGAACTGAACTTCAGGTAAGAAGTTCTGACCTGCAGTCTCTCTGGGTCAGATATGAACCAGGTTTAGCTGGAGTTTATTTTTGTTGTGCTGAGTTTTTACTGTCAGTTACAATCACTGGTACTGGGTACTAGCTAGCATGACGGAGTTTCTATACAGCTGGGTGGTGCTGTGATGTTACTGATAGTGAACTTTATTCATAAGGTTAGTTAGTAGAGTTTCCAACCGTCCTGTAAAAAACGTGAATCGTCTGATTCAGAGAAAATATTACGCGTTTCTATTGAGGTGAAGGAGCAGTTTGTCCCGGACTTCAGCTACAATGAAAAAGACACAAAGCTGGAGTTATTCTGTGTCTTGCTGCACAGCTGCCTCTTCTTCTCTCATTCTCTCCCCCTCCCTCTCCTGTTTCTACTTCAATCATGAAAACTGATCAATGATCAGCTGATCGGTTTCTCTCTTGTTTGTTTATCGCTCACTTTGCGCCATGAAAGAGGAAACCAGCGGATGTCGTGCTAAACAACAGCAGCACGTTTAAGCTTGATCAGCTGTTGTTAGAATTTATTTAATATTAATTTCTAGTATCAGCTGATGTTTGCTGGAGCCACAGCTGTAAAGCTGCTGGTCATGATGATGGTTTGGTATTGTGTGAGAGGGAAACATGAAGATGAAACCAGGAGATGTCCTTACTGGATCATCAGAGCTCGGTGATGGAGAAACAGGTTTACCTTTTAGGTGACATGAATGAGTTGAAGTTATGAACTGTTTCTGAGAGACAAATAACACCCAGGATCCTTTTTAAGTAGCTGACAGCTGGTAACTGTGCAGGGGCGGGTCTAGCAAAGTGTTGCCAGGGGGCCAGGTAGGGCATTAACAGGGAAAGGGGGGCACAAAGAAATACTTTTCTTTCTTATTCTCATTTAAAATGTCTCGCTTTTAATAAAATAATTATCTGAATCTTACAACAAAGTTATTGATAAGATAGAAATCATAATATACCATCAAGACAGTGTACATCACTGTCACAACAGCGTCTGTTTTCATTCAAAGGCTTTATGGCTTTTCCTATAATAGGGCTTTGGAGCGTGATGTCACGGGGGTGGGCGTGGAAAGGATTTTGGCCCGATCCGCCATTTTGGGGGTCTAAGTAAGGAGCGAAAGCATAGCCATGGTTCGTACTTGCTGTGTGGTCGGCTGCAATGTTCGATCTTACGACCGGTGTTGTGCCAAAAACTGATTTCCAGTGTTTCTGTGTATTTTTTATGTGTAATATCTTTACGTATGTTCGTAAATAGACTTCGGTGAACAGGGGATACAAAGGGGTTACATAAAGAATTAAAAAATTATCTGTTTTTTAAGTATCTTTACAACTTGTACTTACATTATAACCAATCCGGTCCTTTATCCCCACTTAAAATATTTTTACAGAACTATTGTAATATTTGCTGCCATTTCTGCTGTCCTGTTGGGCAACTTACTCTTACAAAATACATTTTTAATGTTAATGAGATTTTTTTTACTGCATAAATAAAAGTTATATAAAAGTCGCTGCCAAAAACTGATTGCGGCTTGTATCTTGCTACACAAATGTTGTTTGTGGCTCAAGATGACTTTATGTCATCCATAAGGGATGCATTTGACATATGTTTAACATATTATAGCCCAACAAGTTACTTATAGCACTTTAAATATGAGCAATCGCTTTTTGGCAAATACCGGAAATCAGTTTTTGGCAGACAATCAGTTTTTGGCACAACAGCGGTAAGTCGTCTGGGTCTTTACTCCACTGCCGTATTTCATATGGGTCCAGATTTGCGATGCACTCTATTTTTTTTCAAGTACCGCTGCTTCGCCTCTGGACGCAATCGGTCTCTATACCGTCCGTTTTCTTTTGAGCTGCTTTTAAGCATGTTTCTTGTCGTCGCCGTTCCAACACAGTGTGTTTGTTTTGATTCGTAGACCCCGAAAATGGAGCTGCGCTCCCACAATGCATAGCGGCGTGACGTCAACTCCAAAGCCCTATACCTGGTGGGCCGGTCTGTAGTCAAAATGCCCGGGCCCAATCTAACAACAACGAGTTTAATGGCATGTGTAAAAAAAATGTGGCTTATGAAAAAAAGCTCTTATTTTCATATTTTTAAATTCTAATGCAACTGAATTAACACAATGTTTAACATTAGAAACTGTAATTCATGCTTTTATTACATCACGCCTGGATTACTGTAATTCCATTTTAATAGGAGCTGGGCACTTTGTCACGCTTACAATTAGTGCACAATGCTGCGGCTCGATTTTTAACTGGTAGAAAGAAATTCGACCGCATCACTCCGGTTTTGGCCTCCTACATCGGCTTCCAATCAAATTTAGGATCCGTTTTAAACTTCTTTTATTGGTTTTTAAATCTTTAAATGGGTTGGCACCCGTTTATTTGTCTGATTTGTTGAAAGCCTTATGTTCCCACTCGATCCCTCTGGTCAGCTGAGCAACTGCTGCTTTCAGTCCCTAAGTCACGGCTGAAACTCAGAGGAGACCGGGCGTTCTCTGCTGTGGCCCCGTTGCTTTGGAACAATCTTCCTCTTAATAGTAGACAGGCTACATCAGTGCCGTTTTTAAGTCCAGATTAAAAACCTATTTTTATTCTCTGGCTTTTAACTCTTTGGATGACCTATTAACTTAATGACCTATTAAATTAATAGGTCATCTGCATAACTTCTGAGGCTTACTGCAGATTACTCTCTGTGTGTGAATGGAGCAGCTGCAAAGTTCGTTTTTCTTCACGTTGGAGTTGATCAGGTGCTTTGATGAAGGACTCGGCAATCTAGATTTTTCCCAGTAAAGGTTTTAATGGTCATCACTGGAACTGTGCTCCTGTTTTTGACGCCAGAAACACGTTTTCTTTCACTCAAGCTGAGCTCGGTTTCTCGGTAACGCCTCCGCCTCTTCGTGGTGTGTAAACTACGGAGCCCCTCTGATGACATGGTCCATAAAATAAATAAATTGTGGCCACAAAATTCTACTTTGTGCCCTCGAAATAGTATAACGTGCCCACGAAATACTTTTTGTGGCCATGAATTGGGTATAACGTGGCAACGAATTACGCATTTGTGGCAACGAAATAGATAACGTGCGCACATCATATTGATACAATTCCTGGACAGCTGCGTAGAGACATAAGCATAAGTAGGCTAAACCTATACACCGTGGACAGAGACGGTATGATTGAGTTTTATTTTAGGCTGGGAATGAGCTACAAATGCATTCTGAAAAGCCTGCAATGCAAGGAACCATTATTACGGAGAGACATTTAAACAGGACATCGAGAGCCCAGTTGCTTTACAGATGTAAGTAGGACCTGGACGCCGGGATAGATTTTATTGTCAACCAACTGCAAGGATCACGGTTATCGGTCAAGTGTTTCATGGGCACAAATTAGCATTTCGTGCGCACGTTATACCTATTTCGTGCCCTTGAAATAGTATTTTGTGGCCTCAATATATTTATTTTTTGGACCATGTCATCAGAGGGGCTCCGCAGTAAACAGATGGATTCTGGGAATCCATCCTACCAGGAAAAACATCCTACCCAACGTTTCTGCGCAGACGCGGCGCATGCGCACAACACCAACGCTGAATTAACTTCTTTTTCTCTCACCCATCCGGAATACTTCTTAAGGTTATGGTTAGTTGCAGGTCACCGTCAAATTATAATACGGGTAGGACGTTTTGCCAGAGTAGGATGGTTTCTCAGAACATCGGCTCCATGTTAAACTGTCCCAGAGTCATCATCACTGCGGCTGCTAGCAGCGTTTCTGTTTCAAACTGAAGGCTGTGTGGGCTTCATGTTGTCAAAACGTTATAGTGCAGGTCTGTTTTTAGTAGCAAATGCGGGTAAAGCACTCGCGGTCGTGTCGTTTAACACGTCGACACACTACAGGGCCTCGTGTGAAACGAAACATTGTAGCAAAGAATTTTTTGTGATTTTATTACTCAATGAATTGTTGGAGCCCTATTTCAGTCTTTGCCTAATTTCACTGTGATGAACTTTAATATTAAAAGGTGAACTGCATCTAGCTGTCGGGCTTTTCTGTGCACACCTGAATGTGCCAGACCAACAAACTGCCAAAACCAGTCCTGTGAGAATCTTTTTTTTTTGTTTACAACTGTAGTTCTGTGTGTCGGGGTGTTTACTATTTACACATATATATAATACATGGAATTGTATGATTTCAGTTTTAAAACCATATAATTAAAGGTTAATATTTAAACCTTTTCCTAACAGGATCCCTTAAAGTGCTGTTGCCTGCAGCTTATTATATATGTTTCTTTAAAAATACTGCAATATTTTAATTATGTATTAATTTTGATTGGTCCAATTAAAATTAGTGTTTCCAAAAATAGAAAATTGGAGACTCCAAAAGACCCCTGGAAACCATGGTAACCAACACTATTTTACCTGGAGCATATGTCTGGTTATAAACAAATTAAAATATTTGTATTTAAAAGCGATCCTGGATATCTGGGTAATGTTTTAGCAATGAAAGTGATGTCAGGTTTCCTGGGCTGTTGACTCAGTGTTTTCAGTTTGTACTTTGTCTCTGTTTATTTTCCACGTGCGTCCGGTTTTCTTGTGTTCGCCTCTGTCTGTGTGCACTATGTTCAGTCAGCCAGTCGTCTCATGTCCTGCTCATCCTGCCTTCACAATAAACATCCTCAACCAGCCTGCGAGTCCTGCGTTTGAGTCCACTCTTCTCCACATCCACACAGTGAACGTGACAAGTGATGCCACGTTGTTTAATTGAAATATGGAAACCACTGGAGTGACAAAACAAATTCAGTGTATAGCTGTGTCGGTGATGACGACATTGGCATCTCCAGGTGTCGTTAGAGTAAAGCTCTTTATTATTAATGAGTTATAAAGTGCCCCCAAAGGAAATACACTACCTGTACATGAGTTTCTGCAGTGTGTGTGTGTGTGCGCGTACCTGGGTAACAGAGCTGCCACAGTAGTGAGAACACATGTGATGTAGAAAAGAGAGTGGGACATTTGGAGTAACTCAATCCCCAGAGGGTTGACAGGGGGGCTGCAGGTCACACAGAAGCCACTGAGGAGCAGTACAAAACCAAAATAGGAAGTGCAGCTGAGCACCAACACGACCATATGAATCCATGTCTGCAAAAAAAAAAAAAAAGATTCAAAACTCCAGAGCACAACTAAAGAGAGAGAGCTGCTCCTGAATCTTTCCATTTTCAGTTCTGACTTGGATTACATTTTTCCTCACGCTCTACACCAAAGGTCGCAAACCTAAATGAGCTGAGGGCCACTGCTGCCACTGTCATCTCATGTGAGGGCCACTTTAGTGTTCAAGTTGTACAAAAAACAGTCAAACAACAAAAAGTGTAGTTTTTCTTTTGTTTTTTAAATTTCAAATATTGTACAACAAACTGCAAACGTGAATGCAGATTCTTGTTTCGCACTCTTAACTAACTGAAGCCTTTCATTGAACTACCAGATAAACACATTGGTCCTCTCTTTGCGGACAGACACGTGCAGCACTAATTTTGTTCGTATGTAACAAAGTGCAGACATAAGTGTACACATTAGTGTGCGACTCTCACTGAACTAACACAGCCAATCCCTCAGCATGTTCGTGCTCTCTGCTCATCTTGCCTTCATATTAAATCATTTAAAGAATTTATTTTAAGATTGCACACAACAGCAAACAAATCTTCAAGGGACAAACTGCATTAGATTTCTTCAGGTCAACAAGTAGGGGTGACCTGTGCCGTGAGTTTGAGACCCCTGCTGTACCCCCTAATATAACACACATAACCTTTAAGCTACACACTTGTTATTGTAAAGGCAAAGTAGCTGAGACACAGCCCAGCTGAAGTATAAATGATTTTGAGTGGTGGTGGTGAGTCTGACCAGCGTGTTGCTCTCGATCACTTGGTGCAGCAGAATAATGAAAAGTGCTGATGCGTTGATCGGTGAGCCAAAGGACAGCACCCCAACATCTGATCCTGCGTATGCCTGTGAAAACAGAAAAAAGTCCCCTAAAACACTCTCACATGAAAATCTTAGAACATGAGGAGAAGACAGACAGACCCACGTGCATGTAAATAGAAGGAATGTGATAAGTAACGATTTGCATGGTGTACTTACAAAGTAAGGCACAAAAAAGCAAACGAGGCTTTGGTAAAAAGCATCCAGGACCGTGATCCAGAACATGTATGGAACAAACGTCTGTGAAGACATCACAATCATCTGTTACACTTTCTAAACAAATATGAGTGTTACCGATGTCACACATGCAATACTTGTTTGGCTAACACAGGCCACAACACTTCAATGAAAAACAAATGACCCATGCTTAACGATAATGAGGTAATGAGCTAGGCCAGAGGTCAGCGGTAGGACACAGATAAAAGGACCAACAGAAATATGTTGGGACATGATCATATGAACCAGCAGGTGGTGCCGGTATGCATTTCTTTTTGTGCATTGTGATTTTTCTACTATATGTAATGTACACATGTATGGCTATGATAGTGCCCTATTTTCTATCTTCTGTTTCCTCTTTCTGTGCAAATAATAAAATGATCGCAGAAATGTAGCTGTTGACATATTAATTAAAGTGAATTTATGTGTTTTCCTGTTATACAGGACTGTTGTGATCATGTGTTTGCACATTATGAGTTAGCAGCCCGGTTAGTGTGAAGCCTACATTAGTAGGTATTAGAGTTTCATCATAGCAAGTGCAGAACCAGTTTACATTCAGTAATTTAAAATACTTTGAAAGCCAAATAAAGGTAGCGATCAATAAACTTTTCATAATTTAAGCAGTTTTCTTTTTTCATCGACATGATGCAAACCCGCTGAGACTTCATGATGCTAACTGTGTCCGCTAAGGTTTTGTGTTCATAAGCTGCTCTGTTTCAGAAAATACATTTGTTAGGAGCAATGACCATACTCTAGAAAATGTTTGACAAAAATGAAAAAACAAATGAAATCCTTAAACAGCAACTGCCTTTTGTATAGTTTGTATGTCATTTCTGTGGCATGTATGTGTTTGCAGTAACCTTGGAAGTTTGTGCATCCTGGTAGAGCTCGGGCAGCTCCATCAGAGCGTCAGCAGGTAAATCTTGGTTGAGAATGCCGTAAATGAGCGGAGGAGCTGATGTGAAGATTAGATTGAAGAGGATGAGCACCCAGGAGTTGGTCATGACACTCCCAGAAAAACCACAGAAGAACTGATACCAGAACAGCAGATTCACATACATCTGCAGGTTAGAAACACACAGTCAGCAGTGAGGAATTTCCTTACTTATTACTTTTTTTATCCTTGTGTGAACAACGAATTGCTCTAAAATCTTCTGTGTTTTGTAACGAATAAGTGCCATTTCTGGGAGATTCTTTAGTTTCAGGCAGAACATGAGCAGCTTTGGTGCAAGGAGGGAAGGAGCTCAGTGAACAACCATGCTCCATGCTGACACAGAGAACCACGGCTTTGTCGTGGTCGTAAATCACTGCACCAGCTCTTTATCCTTTCAGTGATATGATGATAAATGATTGTTCATTGATCGTATGTTTGATTTAAGCTAATAATGTGTCCTTTCGGCTCACACGTAAGGAAAACATGCAAAGTCCACATATAAAAGGCCCCCAGCTGTCTTTCTAATCAGGAACCTTCTTACGTTAAGGTGTCATTACTAATCTCTGCACAGGCAAAGCTCAATATCAACAAGTCCTCTGCATCATTGCAAGCTAGAGTAGGAAGGCTGCTGGGTGCCTCAAACCTGTGTGAGGTGTTTTGGGTTTGTCAGACTAGTGTTGACCTCAGCACAGATTTGAGACATGCTGGGAGAGCTGGACTCAGTGGCCAGGGAGAAGACCTGTCCCACAACAGGAACCCTCCAAAGTCATATTAAGTCTTATTAAATGTAGTCGTGGTATAATAGGCAGAATAAACCGGAAACAAATATTTGGATGCAGCAACATAACAGAGACAAAACTGCTGTAAGACTAAAACAATGATTTGCTGTTGTTTTCTTGTGAGCAGGTGAGTTTAGGGATGACAGTGTAGCTGCTGTGAGTTCAACACCCGCCTTAATTCGAAACGTCAGTCAAGCCGTTTATAACCTTTTTTATAAAGCTGTCAAAAAGACTCTTACCACATTCTTGTAGATGAAGTATTGTATCATGTTTGCAAGACGAGAGTAACACCAGTGGCCATGAACCAGCAGCAGCTTGCTGAGGTGTTTAAACCGTGAAATAGCAAAGTCACTGGACATCACAGCCTGGAGAAAGATTTAAAACAACAAAAAATGACCACAGAGCAAAATAATGAAAAAACGAAGAAGAAAAAATGCAAGCGTTAGCCTCATTTAGCGCCTGCTGGTGAGTGAAACCAGATGATACGGGCGAATGCAATATCACACTGATTCTAATATAACCACAGAAAGCTACAGCTCTCAAAGAGTTCTCTGTCATGGTCTTGGATGGGAGGCTGAACTAAACCGATACTAACAAACAGTAGCTTCATAGTATTCTGTAAAGACCTCGGTTTGACAGTATTTTTTGTTATTACTAGTATTATTGTCATTTTTTTCTTTGTTAATACCTGCATTCCCTCCTGTCCAGATATCCCAATGCCCACATCAGCCACCTGAATCATGCTTACATCATTGGCTCCATCACCTGAAACAGCAGCATTGTTTTCCACTAGTTCGTGTCAAATTATTTCAAGCAGTGATTTGATAAATAAAGCTGACAGTACTCATGCAATGACAGATCATCTGTATTTCAAATGTTTAACAGACAAAGGGTTATGAAATGTCTTTATGGAATAATAAACAATCAGCTCCAAGCTGCTTTTCTGTTGGCTGAGTTCTTACCCACAGCCAGGGTCATGACACCAAGATGGTCCCGGATCAGCTGGACCACTTGGCTTTTCTGCAGTGGAGTGGAACGGCAGCAGATCACTGCCTTGCATCGCCGGCTCAGCTCCAGGAAGTTGCTCCTCAATTCGTCCTCCAAGGCCCAACCCAGCGTCCGGCCATCTATGACCAGAATGAAGCTGCTGGACATGGATTCCCCATTTCCAGTAAGGGCAGTCAAACTCTCACCACCCTGGACTTCCAGTATGAGATCCTCAAATAAAGCTGCACAAGCATCCTGAAGGAAAAGAAAGGACTGTTATGTGCCTGAGCAGAGCATAGCTGAATTTATTGCAGTCATTATAAGCAACTGTTTCTTTCATGAAATTGGTGGGATGCTTGCTGCGAGTGAGTTCAGACATGGCTTCTCCTGCCCAGTGTTTTATTGGATTGGATTGATTGTTGGTGTTTTTTAATAAGGGGGAAAAATCCAAACCTACATGGCTCTGTGTGAAAAAGTGAATGCCCCCTAAACCTAATAACTGGTTGGGCCACCTTTAGCAGCAACAACTACAATCAAGCACTTACGATAACTGGCCACGAGTCTTTTACAGCACTGTGGAGGAATTTGGGCCCACTTGTCTTTGCAGAATTGTTGCAATTCAGTGACACTGGAGGGTTTCTGAGCATGAACCGCCTTTTTAAGGTCACGCTAGAGCATCTCAGTCTTGTGAGACTTCACCAGAGGTGCAAGCATCACAGCACATTTATGTCAAAAAAAGTGAAGATAAAACACAGAAAAATATGAAGGAGATTATCCTGGGCTGGATTTTTATAGTAGATAACCCCCAGTGAAGTGAAGCAGAGCATCGTTACAGAGGTTTTGTTAGAGACGCAGCTAAGCGTTTTGTAATTTGGCATAATATGTAAAAGTTGAAATTCACTGTGAATTCGTTTACCTGCTCTTTTGCTCTTTTAACTGTTTGGCGGTTGTTGAAATAGTTTTGTGAGCTTTAAGCTGAGATTCTGGTGTTTCTGGCAAAATACATTTATATTTAAAAATCGATGTCAGGATTTAATGAATCGATATCGCTTTATTCAATATAAAATCAATTTGAATCTGGAAATTGATGTTTTTAAACCCACTCCTACTCCTGAGGCTGCACGTGTCTTGCTTTTGCTGTGTAGTAAATTGTCTTGAACGTTCCAGCGAATAGGTTTATGCTACAAACCTATCACTAAGCAAGCCCTCAGGCATGGACAGCTTGCTGTAATTCGAATCTTTCAGCAGCTCCAATGATTGGCTAACTATCCGAGTTGCAGAAAGCAGTTTCTGCTGCGTATTGGTACTTGTATTTGTTTAGATTGTTATTATTTTATGCAGTAAAAGAAGCATTTTCTTTCCTAAAACAATGAATAACAATATATATAAAAATAGAACACGTTCATTAGCACTGGTAAAAGTACTGGTCGATGGATGAGTCTACAAATGTCTATAGAAACCTTGTCCAGACGAAACAACCCATCACTATGTTCCTCACCAACAAAAAGAAAGAGGACATGCTCTAATGCTCTTCTTTGCTCTACACTACATTCATCTCACGCACAGTTGATTCACTGTGTACACGAACAAATGACTTTTTAATAAGCATTTATAAGAGTGTAGACAGGATTTATAAGAAAGGTTTTTGAGGGTTTCATGACTGAAATATATAAAAATAATAAAATAATCATATAAAAAGTTTCCCTCTAGCCCTGTGGGTGATCTATCCTTCAAGCTCGGGTCCTCTACCAGAGGCCTGGGAGCTTGAGGGTCCTGCGCAGTATCTTAGCTGTTCCCAGGACTGCACTCTTCTGGACAGAGATCTCCGATGTTGTTGCGGGATCTGCTGGAGCCACTCGCCTAGCTTGGGAGTCACCGCACCGAGTACTCTGATTACCACGGGGACCACCGTCACCTTCACCCTCAACATCTTCTCGAGCTCTTCTCTCAGCCCGTGGCACTTCTCCAGCTTCTGGTTTTCCTTCTTCCTGATGTTGCTGTCACTTGGTATAGCTACAGCTATCACTACAGTACAGCTGGTTTACTCTCCTGCCTTCTGTCTCTGTGGTATGCTTCTTCAAGTGGCTGGCCAAGGCTGTAAGTCTTTGTTTGGGAGTTTCCAAGGCACGGGCAGCTCTTAGGTACCTCTTTCTTCAACTTTCTACTTTGAACTTCCCTCCGTGCTACCTTGATCTTGGCCTCTCGACTCCTTCTCCATGAACTGCACTGCTCCTTTGGGCTGTTCATCATATAGCCAAGCATCTCCGTGATCACTGCTGTGGTGTAGATCAGCTGGTTCTTTTTGGTGATGGTTGCAGTACGGACTCTCCATTATGGTGCATTTACATCTTCTAGTAGACCTTCAGAGGGTACTTAACATATTCTATGTAACCCACTACGGAGGGTCCAGCTTTACCATGATCCTATCTTTCAGCTCAGTTTCTCTCGCACTCAACACTCCATCCGTCATACTTGGGGTGTCATGGTGTGACTGCTGGGTAGTCACAGGAGCATGTTTAGTGGGAGACTGAGATGAGCCAAACGCACCCATCTCCCTGTACAACTCCTCCATCTAATGCAGAGGGCACACTGTGTGAAGAAGACCTTACACCCTTTTGCACATGCTCTACAGTAAAATAACAAAGATTTTTTCACTCACTGACCTTGCTTCCACAGTTAGCTGTCAGCAGTTTGTCACTGGCACATAGAAGTTTGCAGGCATAAGCGATGTTGATGGCTGTTTCCTGTTTGTCTCCAGTGAGAACCCAAACTTTAATCCCAGCCCTCTGAAGAGCAGCAATGGTCTCTGGAACCTCCTCCTGGAGTCTGTCTACAATCCCTGTGGTACCTGAAAACACACGCATACGCTTTAAGTGCTGGTATTTCAGCTCTGATATCGAATGATTTAAGTCTGAGCTGCAGTGACTACCCAACAGAGTGAGGTTGGTCTCAAGCCTCTGAGCTGACTCCAGAAGAAGCTCCTCTCTGTTCTCTATGCTGCTCTCTGCCAGCATGTGTGCTTTCAGCCACAAGTCATACTCATCCTCCTTCAGAACCTGCAGGTAATCAATAACAGATCAAGCAAATATTAGTAACTACAAAGTCAGTAGTTGGCTGTCTGTCATGTATTCAAACCGACTGTGGGATCCTTCAATATGAATGGGAAATGAGACCAAGAAGCAACAGTGGGGAACAGAATCACAAAGCTCCAGTTGAGACAGACAGTTCAGTTGGGTCAAAGATTTTCACACCAGTGGTCTGCTGGAGCTCGTTTCTAAGGCCTCTGGCGGTGCTATCATCCCGTTCCTCCTTGCACGAGGGAACAGCTTGTGCAAGGAGGCCCTGTGAAGCTTTACTAGATTAACTGCTTGTCTCCTGGAATCTCCTCCATCCTCTTCAGACTGTGCAGTGACACAGTCTGAATGTACAGCAATTTGGTCAACTCTGTTGTTTTAAATGTGCTATATAAATAAACGTAGCCTTCGTCTTGTGTTAGCTTAGTTAAAATCATTAGTGTTACAGGAAAATTTTAACCCGGTTATATTTACTTCAACAGAAAAATTACAAGATGATCATTTAGCCTGGAGAAATAGTTTGCTGCTTTATAAGAAAGCCCTCCACAAAGCCAGAACATCTTACTATTCATCACTGATTGAAGAAAATAAGAACAACCCCAGGTTTCTCTTCAGCACTGTAGCCAGGCTGACAAAAGTCAGAGCTCTTTGAGCCAACCATCCCTTTAACGTTAACTAGTAATGACTTCATGAACTTCTTCACAAATAAAATTTTTATCATTAGAGAAAAAATTACCAGTAATCATCCCACAGATGTAATATTATCTACAGCTACTCTTAGTACCATTGATGTTAAGTTAGACTCTTTTTCTCCAATTGATCTTTCTGAGTTAACTTCAATAATTACTTCCTCCAAACCATCAACGTGTCTTTTAGACCCCATTCCTACAAAACTGCTCAAAGAAGTCCTGCCATTAATTAATTCTTCGATCTTAAATATGATCAACCTATCTCTAATGATCGGCTATGTACCACAGGCCTTCAAGCTGGCTGTAGTTAAACCTTTACTCAAAAAGCATCTCTAGACCCAGCAGTCTTAGCTAATTATAGGCCAATCTCCAACCTTCCTTTCATATCAAACATCCTTGAAAGAGTAGTTGTCAAACAGCTAACAGATCATCTGCAGAGGTTTATTTGAAGAGTTTCAGTCAGGTTTCAGAGCTCAGCACAGAAACAGCTTTAGTGAAGGTTACAAATGATCTTCTTATGGCCTCTGACAGTGGACTCATCTCTGTGCTTGTCCTGCTAGACCTCAGTGCAGCGTTCGATACTGTCGACCATAATATCCTATTAGAGCGATTAGAACATGCTGTAGGTATTACAGGTACTGCTGCAGTGGTTTGTATCATATCTATCTAATAGACTCCATTTGTGCATGTAAATGGAGAGTCCTCTTCACACACTGAGGTTAATTATGGAGTTCCACAGGGTTCAGTGCTAGGACCAATTCTGTTTACATTATACATGCTTCCCTTAGGCAGATCATTAGAAGACATAGCATACATTTACACTGCTATGCAGATGACACCCAGCTCTATCTATCCATGAAGCCAGATAACACACATTTTTGACCAGGACATGTCCTTCAATGCACATATTAAACAAATATGTAAGACTGCTTTCTTCCATCTCTAATTTCTTCCATGCGCAACATCTCTAAAGTTAGAAATATCCTGTCTCAGAGTGACGCTGAAAAACTAGTTCATGCATTTATTACTTCCAGGCTGGACGACTGTCATTTGTTAAAAACTTTCCTTTTTGCTAAAGCATATAGTTAGGGCTGGACCAGGTGACCCTGAATCCTCCCTTAGTTATGCTGCAATAGACGTAGGCTGCCGGGGATTCCCATGATGCATTGAGTTTTTCCTTTCCAGTCACCTTTCTCACTCACTATGTGTTAACAGACCTCTCTGCATTGAATCATATCTGTTATTAACCTCTGTCTCTCTTCCACAGCATGTCTTTATCCTGTCTTCCTTCTCTCACCCCAACCAATCACAGCAGATGGCCCCGCCCCTCCCTGAGCCTGGTTCTGCCCGAGGTTAAAAGGGAGTTTTTCCTTCCCACTGTCTGCCAAAGTGCTGCTCATAGGGGGTCATATGATTGTTGGGTTTTCTCTGTATCTATTATTGTAGGGTCTACCTTACAATATAAAGCACCTTGAGGCGACTGTTGTTGCGATTCTGTGCTATATAAATAAAATATAATTGAAATGAAAACTTCAGTTACACTGAAGGATCAGATATTAAGTTATGACTGGACAAGATTAGTAACAAATTTAAATGCTAAATTTAAAAGCATTTACCTTCCCTTTTCACAAGTCTCTTTTATGTGACCTGCTTCAAACAACAACAATGCACGGGGCAACATATCTAATGTTTTTTTGCATTCTCATGTCCACGTCCAAAACACAGTTTCAGAAGAGCAGATCCATGTTAAAAATCTCAGCATCACATGTGACCTGTGTAGTAAGTTTAACTGGATTCTCTAAGCACTGCAATTCTCTTTTGCTTTATCAGTTCTCCATCATGTCTTTCCTTGATAATTTACCAGGAGCTTGAGGACAAAAGATCAGGAAAGTGTTAAATCTTCAAACTGATTTATGGCTGTCTGTGCATCAAAGATCTTTGCATCCAGCTAAAGTGAGAAACCATTAAATTAAATACTACATTGTGAAAGAGTGTATTCATGGACATTCTGTACAAAGCTATTTTATTTCACTTCTCAGAGATGTTACCTTTTTAGCGATGCAGAGTGTGCGGAGGCCTTCTCTGGCATAAGCATCCAAATGTTTTTGGGTTTTTTCTTTGATGTGACTGTATACCTCCGTCTGATCTGCACCGGAGAACAACAAACACACATATAAAACACAAAGGAACACTGATGAAAGACATTGCTCTTATTATAAATTTCATTTGTTCTAAAATCATCAATCAGTAGGAAATCAATCTTAAATATTCCTTTTAATTACCTGTGGGGCTTTCAGCCAGGTCCATGATGACTGAGTCCGCACCCTTGGTGAAAACCACCACTTGTCCCGTCAGAGGGTGGCGAACCACTACGGACATCCTTTTCCTGTTGGAGTCAAAGGGCAGGATGTGGAGCAGCTGGATAGCCAGGGAGCCGATTCCTGGCAGATCCACGAGCAGGCTCTCTGCAGAGCGACCCCTCAGGGTACAGCGGTATGCTCGTGCTGCATGGACCAAAGCTGCCTCATCTGGACTCTCTGCCTCATACACCAGCTCATCGGTTATCTCTTCCACTTGTTTGGTCAGGTCTTGCATGCTCTGTCTTGCCTCATCAGGGTTTGTCTGTGTATCCTTTAAGTCATCCTCTGTCTCTTGGTCCTCCACATCTTGTTCTTCCTCCTCTCTGGCAGATAAGTCTGGTTTAGAGTCATTTTCCTGGCTTGAGCTTGACACGTCTGTGGTGTTGCTCACGGGAGTGGAGAGAGTGAGAGAGCCTCTCTTCCCCCTAATAAATAGCCTGCTTTTTAAGCTGTGAGGGCTGCCTTTGATTTGGGAAGGGGAGAGAGCGGAGAAGGGAGAGAAACTGAAACGCTGAAACATCAACTTAACTTCTTCCAGAGACTTTAGAGGTGTCCGTTCTTCAGGTATCTGTAGGAACAAGAAAACTGAGTCAGCTTCTGGAACTCGTGCTAAAAAAGTCAAGACGGTTTCCCCTGAAATTATTCTTTGAATTTTTACACTACTGAACACTTTCCTGTATTTTTAATTAAAATGTAAATGAATCAAGCCAGAATCTTTCCCATTAGTCGAATCTCTGCACAAAGTGAAAACCAGCTACAGCTTTGTTACTGTGGAGTATTTTGTGTCAACTGACGAGGAATAAATATCCATTAGACTCAAAAATAGATATTGTGGTGATGTAAAGTGGAAAATCATGTCTCGTGATTTTCATGTTCAAAATCATGTTCAACCTTTACATTTTTAGGCATTTAGGCTCTTTAAGTTATTTATATGATGATTAAGAGAAAGTAAGGACTATTTTTATATGCAAACATATTTCAGCGTGCCGTATTGTCAGAACACGTCCGATCGTCTGGAGTCAAAAAATCATGTTCAACTACTTTGAGTCTGGACTCTGAAGTCATGTCCAGACTCGTCTTCAGTCAAATCAACACATTACTCAGAGTTATCATTCCATTATTGATGTAACTTATATATTTGATTCCTTATCAGTTCTCGCTGTCTCTGTTTGAGGGTCACCATCATCTGTAAGCAGCGTATCAAAGACTTTACATCCGTGAATATTAACAGCATGTAGTATCGTCAAATGCTTGTTATGGTCAGTGTTTGGGTCATTACTCAAAAAACATAATGTATTACGCAGAACACCTTTCTTAAAAGGGATGTAAGTAATCTGTTACACTACTTGTAACATTATTTTTGCATTTTTCCATAAAATGGTGAAACGCATTGTCTCATATATACATGCAGGACACACATATTATCTTTCTCTTAGCAGTGGCATGCAGTGACTTTTACAGAACAAAGATGAAAAAAGATAAAAGTGCTGCTGACCCTGCACCTGCTCAACTTCCCTGTTTTATTATAGACCAGACACGGTCAGAGCCACAGCCTTCAGCTTCTTCCTGTTAAAATTGAGTTTTTCCTCCCCACAGTCGCCAAAGTGCTTGCTCATAGGGGTCGTCTGATTGTTGGGCTTTCTCTGGATTATTGGTCTTTATGTTACAATATTAAGCCCCTTGAGGCGACTGCTGTTGCGATTTGGCGCTGTATAAATAACTGCAGCCACAAGATGACAGTAATGTTAATGATGGATACACATACTAATCGACAGGCGAGGAGCTTTATGGCAGCGCTGTTTGACATCAAAGAGAGAAATCACTTTACTTTGGTACATTTTAAATATTGTCAATATTGTTTATATTTGACAAGTCCTGATGGAAAGAAACTGGTATTTAGATATGAACACAAAGCCGGCAGCACAAAGCAAAGATGAAAACAGGACAAAGAGCCTTTAACTGCTACAGTGATTCTACTGTAGAAACATGTTGGAAACAGAGGCTGCAGCCTGACTGCTCATCCATTTATTACCTTTATTACCTGTTTAACACCAGGGTCTGGCAGCTTGACTGTTGGTGTTTGTTCAGCTTTAACATAAATCTGGGTTCTTGGCTAGCTTAGGTTTAGTCTGTGCTGTCTGTGCAGGGACTTGTAAAGAGCTGAAGTTGTGTTAGCAGCGTAATGCAGTTGTTTCTGTCGTGGATGCAGTTTCCACTTTATTATCATGTCTATATCTACACTGTAGACCGTGCCACTGTTTTCCTCCTCTAGCATACAATCTGAAATCAGCTGATTGTAGCACAAGTGCAAGTGGAATGGATAAACGGATTCAATAGGCAGGCAGACAACAATGTCAAGGAACTGAACTACTGGGAATCAGTTCTTTTATCATCACAGTCCTGACACATATTTGTTTTTCTGTCCAAAATGTCTGAACAACATTTTAATCCAAGTCAGGAAATATCAAGTCTTTTCACACTGATATTCTAAAGATTACGAGGACCTCTAAACATCACACTGAACGACATCACTCTACAGACTAAACTAAGCAAAATGTTTAAATAGGCTCGTCAGTACAGACAAAAGAGCAAATTGTTCCAACAACACCATGTAAGTCATTTCATTGTAAATCAAAACAAATGTTGGAAACATCTTTTATGTGTTATTTACTCACCACATGTCGAGGCTGGTTGGGCGAAGAAACCACCACACTGTTACAGATGGCCAGAGCCAGGAAGAAGTCAGTTATGTAGGTGAGCTCCATGCTGGATGGAGTCTCGGATGAGGAGTGGTTTGTCAGCCAGTTCAGCTTCCTGCCAAGTGCGGGGTCTGGTACCACCTCCTTTGCCTGAACACAGGAGCAGCAGGTGCTTACCCAACATGCCAACAATAGGAATAATAAGCAAAAGCAGTGGAGTTCACTACATGCAAAATGTAGTGTGAGAAATATGCAAAAAACTAAGAATTCAAAAAGGGGGCAAAAACAGCACTATATTTACCAGTAATTAATAAAACCAACTTTTTATAAGGTCTCCAAGCCGAGTTTTTGATGTGCATTCCATAAATGTTGAACTGTCTGCTTTTGAAACCGTAACTATGAAGTGAAGTCAGCATACCGAGGGAATCTTCTGATTATCAGGATTCACTTACAGTAATATTTGCAGTCAGGAGAAATGATCACACAGAGCTGATTATTACATATTTACTCAGGGATTCTCCCACATTCAAATTAAAGAACTGCCACTTCCAACATCTGACCAATCACAAGACATGGACGGATGTCCTGACAGCAACTGAATTTACAAATGAAGAGAAACTGTTCAATCGGCAAAAAGCAGTTAAACACTGTGCTCTGTTTTAACTGCAGCAACATAACAGCTACAGATGGTGTAGATTAAAGTCTATCTGAAGACAGGAAGGAAAGCTGGCAAAGGTGCTGACTGTGTAACAGACTTATCAAAATGTAACATTTGTCTTTCACAAACAGGATGTGATGCGATCAGTATTTCATTAAAAGAATGTTTAAAGGACAGACTTGTGGTGTTTTTTAAGAGTTTGAAAGTAAAGAAGTAATATAAGCACAAAGATAGGACTAGACTATGTTTTATTGTATTTTAGGTCAACAAGTACAAATAGGTGTCCAATCCTAGAATTGTATATTAATACCGACAGAAGAATAAAACTGCAGCCAGTAGGAAAAAAGAATTTAAGGAATAAAGCTAAGGATCCAGATTTTGTAGATTATATTACACAAAGACATTAGATTTAGACATTTTCTGGTAAGTGATTAGTCAGACGGTGATGATGTCATACCTGCTAGTCTCTAATCTGGACCATGACCATGAGTTAGGCTTGCAGCATAAGGAGATGGTCTCATATACACTGACCAGTTTGACTTGTGATGACGCTCATCTTTTAATTAGAAGTCATTTCAGGTAACAACACTGTTTGACCACATGCACTACTGTCACCACATTTGTAAGGTGTTTGTCTTCTCTGTGATAGCAGAGAATGTTGGTGTCGTTGGGTAGTGAACCAACACTTGCCCAAAATCGCCGGCCTAGGGGATCCTCACGCACCTGGTTAAGCAGTGTGCCAGTGTGTGTTGTTATAGTAAACAGTAACTAGTTTGTATTACTGTAACACAAGTCTCAACATGTGCCATTTCAAAGTTTTGATAACGTCACAGTTAAAAAAGGACTGACTAGATTTGTTCAGACTTTTAGCTGGCATTGTGTTTGGAGTAGACATGGCCTCTGATTATATACCTCAGGGTCTATAAATTATAAAATTACAAAATGTTTGTTTTAACATGAGTATTATTTTAACAATACAAAGAATGCAATTTTGCATCAAACATGATGTCTGATGTGTGTGAGAGAATCTGACCATGCGGCTGCAGAAGGCGCCGGTCCTGGGCTGGACGTGACCCGACAGTTGATCCTCCTCCATTGGCTCAGCAGTAAGCGTGTGAAGAGACACAGAGCTGCGATTGCAGCTGAGAGAGCGACAGCTCAGAGATTTCCCACTGTAGCCCGACTTCAGAGTCACAGAGCAAACAGCCGTCTCGGTGTTTTCTGATTCGTACACCTCAAGCCTTCGAGCTGACACACATAACAACACATCAACAATGATACCATGCAGGCTGTCATTAGCATGCCTGTAGTTTAAGGATAATGTGTGCTGTATTGTCTAAAATCTAATAAATCTTTATACATTTATGATCAGATGTCAGAATGTTTTATTTACTGGATGTTATTCTCCTCCAGTTCAAGCATTTTGATGTTCATTTAATTAAATTAAGTTTTTTTAGTTTAGTTTAGTTTCATTATAGTGCCAAAAAACAACAACTGTCACCTCAAAGTGCTTCAAATCTCTGCTGATACCATTTAGACCCTCTTTCTTTCATTGTATTAAACAATAATAGAGCACAGACCATGGAGCAACAGCAGCAGACTGAAACTTGACATATGTCATTAAATTAGAAGAAGACCTCTATTTAATGCTTAACTGAAATCGCCAATAAATTATTAATGAATATCCATCCATCCCGGCCACTAGGGGGAGTAGCTTATAAACCAACAACCCGAGATGTCCTCAGCTACCTCCTCCAGCTCCTCAGAATGCCAAGGCTTTTCCAGGTCGGCTGAGAGAGATAATCTCCAGTGTGTCTTGGGTCTACCTCCCCTCACTGATAAAAATGATCAACTCAATCAATGGTGAAGTCCAAAACCCACAACAAGTCAGAAATATTACCAGCAATGTAGACCAAGTTCTCAGTGTGATTGTACGGATGTGGAAGGTGCATTAGGAGAGTGGGATTCCCCATATACCCACAGCACTTTCCACAGGACATGGTCATATGCTTTCTCTAGGACCACAAAGTGTAACTCCTACTACATACCTTTGAGAGGATAAAGGTCTGGTCTAGTGTTCTACAAGCAGGACATAAACCGACTGTTGCCCTGAATATGAAGTTAGAGTAATGGACAGCCTCTCTTCTCCAGTATCCTGGCATAGACCCCTAGTCCCCAAAGTCTGTTTCTTCTATAGAAGGTTGTCTGTGGGACGGAGGATATGTTCAAACTCGTCTTTCCACTGCCTGACTATATCCTCAGTTGAAGTTGGCAGGACCTTAACTGCATTATGCGTGTTTGAGCAGAGCACTGCTTTCGCCTCCTTAGTCACCTCGAAGAATTGCTTTGAGGTGACCGGTAACTACTCCCACACCTGAGTTCAGCAATTTCAGCCATTGCCAAACCTGGCCTGCTTTTAATTGTTAGCTGCCTCCAGAGTCTCACAGGCTAACCAAGCTGAATAAAACTCCTTCAGCTTGACAGTCCGCTCCCATTCAACAACCCAAGGGTGCCGGAAAGCAACCCTCTTGTCCTCTGGGAAAACCAGGCAGCAGGCCGGGGGGATAGACAGACCCTTGTTGTTTCCTCAGGTTACACCTGACCGGGCCCCACAGGCTAAAGGCCGCCTACCAGGCACTCTCCCTGGGCCCCCAACCCAAACTTGGCCTCAGGGTGGGGGTGTGGCAACTGTATCCTGGCCAGCGTGAACTGATTGCTTGGTTTTCTTCATTTCACAGGAGTCAATGAATTGCTTTTCACCTGGCCTTCACCCAGGACAACTTTGCCTAGTGAGACCTTACAGAAAACAAAGCCCCTGACAACACAGCTCCAAGACACACAGTCCTCTACGACAGTAAGGTGGTTTTCACAGAGGGATAATGATCAAAAACAAATACACTACGGACAAGCAAAAACATTCAGATGAAAATGTTTTTGCTTCATGCTGTTCTTTGTTTTACTCCTTTGTGTCTGTGGAATTTCATGAAGAAGTTTAGTTTGTGATATTGAGTGACAACGATATTCTAGACAATGACCTCAACTAAAGACAACATTGTACAAAAGTTTAAGGCACTAAAGACAAGGTGAACATCTTGTCTGTATAAATGCTGTTGTGTAAGCACTCATCGTCCTAGCTGCATTCCTACTGTAATTACAGAATTCCCTTCAATGCTGAAAATATGTTAACAACAGAAGTCAATGAAATTCAAAGCATTCTAGCAATAATAGCGGTTTCTACCATTTTCCTCATGAGGATATTCAACTCCAAAGATACTGCAGCGGCGAAACACCATCTTATTTTCTGTCAGCGTTCCTGTTTTATCAGAGAACAGGTACTGAATCTGACCGAGGTCCTCGGTAATGTTGAGAGCACGGCACTGGATCCTAGAGTCCAGCTGTTTGTTGTACAAGGATAGGTCGTTGTGGATGAAGTAGATCTGGCCTAGTTTCACAATCTCAATGGACACGTATAGAGAAATTGGGATCAGCACCTGTTGAACAAAAAGCATTAATCCTTCTAACATGTTAACGAGTAAAAATTCAAGCACAGGTTCCTGTGATTTTACACCATCAAGTTTGTGTCATTTTCAAATTGTTTTGGTTATCCTAGAAAAGATCACAATAGCAGCAAATGAGAGGCCCAAGTCTGAAGTTAACATACCTGCAACACAATGACCATAGTCCAGAATATATAGAATCCAGCCAGGGCAGGAGGCGTCTCAGTATCGACCTGGAAGATGGATTCTTTAAAGCTGTTCATCCAGAGGCCGTGGCCTGAACACAAATGAAATCCTTACTGGCCATTCCTCGCTGCTCTTATCGGCAACATACAATGTGCACTATTACAAAGTTTCCATCAGAAGAATACTGTGACCAGTCAAAGCTGTTGTCAAGTGAGAGCTGTGATACAGCAGTGTCAGTACAGACCTATAGCAGCAGTCAGGCACATAACGAAGAGTAGGACCACACACCAAAGGATGTCTGTATTCAGGTGCTTCTCCAGCTTACTGCGCTTATACCTCGGCCCGCTGTTGTTCATCATGGCTTTAGTCTCATGACCTGAGTCCATAACAAGAGAAGAACACAGCCATCTTTGAAGACTTTATCTGTTGAAACTACATAAGCAAGACGGGAACAGCACTCTTTATTCATACACGAGTCAACATGTTTTACAGCCTCTAAATCTTTTAACGCAGCTTCCTCAGTCGCTTTGGTCAAACTCTGCAAAGTAATAAGTGATAAGTATGTACAACTAATAACATTGTTTTTGCTGTAAATAGTTTTTAATATTGAGACATGGCAGCTTTTTATCAACTAAAATTCATGAAATTCTAAAGTGGGAAATCAGGTAATTTGTGTTTTTAAAAACCGGTAATAAGGTCTACTACACTTTGTCAGGCAGGTCCTATTTAAGCGATGTCTTGATTGAGAACGGGCATGGCTGTAGTCAGGCCTTACAGTTATTACTGTAGGTTTTTACACAGGGCACACATGTAGGTTTGGGTTTTTTCCCCTTAATAATAAACATGTCCATTCAAGTGTAAAAAACATGTAAAAAAACAAAACAAAACAGGAACTCGGGCAAACATTTTTTCACACAACTGTAAATGTCTTCACTTCCTTTTACTCTACAAGACAGAGCAACTTCCAACAGTCAAAATTGAATCGAGTCATTACAAGTGGACATTTTCGCCAAATCTTTGGCAAAGATTTTCTGGTCTCTGGCTTTTCTTTGATCATGTGTGGCATCGAGAAGCCAAGATGAGACTTATTATGAACAGTGGCTATTTATAATTGTCTTTTCCTGGAACAGTTTAAGAATACAGATCAACAGAACGTTGACCCTAACCCTATTTATATATTTATGTTTCACAAAGTAATAAACAGTGATGATTCCTGGGCGTGCGGTTACCATGGACAGTAAGTATGAAAAGACAGATGGAGGCACTAGTACGGTTCCCATATAAAGCCTCAAGCTGGACGTTTTCTCTGTCCCAGTCTTGGTGTTTTAAAGCTGAATGTGATGAGCCAGGGACGGATCTGATATCGAAACTGCAGTCTCATGGATAACAACTTGTAAGTGGGAAATTCTCCATTTAGAATGAGCATAACTTAATGTTCTGTTTAGTATGACTTCGAGCACATAAGGTTCAAGTAAAAGAGATAGCGAAACCGCTTTTACCACATAAAAACTTACTATAACTAAACACAAGTTTTTCAAATAAAAAGTTTATGATATCTCGAAATCTGCTTGAGCCACACTTCTCCAGTTTTTCCATCGTCAGGACGTTAGCCCTGTTGTTCTCAACTACCTTTGGTGTTGACTCTCAGTGGGAAATTTAGTGCATACGAGGTGCAGATGTTCCTGTATACTGTTGCAGCCAGTTGGTTGTGTATTATTGGTCTCCTGTGGCTGAAAGTTCACACCAGGTAAAAGTGATGGAGGATTTAAAATTTGGAAAAATAAAGGCATTCAAAAAATGAAAGACCTATATGCAGACGGCATGCTGCTCACATTTGATCAGTTATGTATAAAATATTTAATACCCCCAAAGCACTTTTTTAAATATTTACAATTGAAAAACTATTTGTCATCAAAACTGCAAAGGATTGCTGAACTTCCACCATTGACAAAAATAGAGGAGGCATGCATTAAGAACACAAAAGGGAAAGGTTTCCTCTCTATATATTATAATTTACTGATGCTTTCCTCCAAAGACTCAGCAGCAGATAAGCTGGATGCTTGGAGAAGCAAGATCCAAGAGGACATAGATGAAAACGACTGGAACCAGGCTTGCTTAAAAGCACAAAAACAAACAAACACACGCTTTAAACTACTGCAATATAAATTTCTCATGAGAACCTATATAACACCTGTCAAGCTTCATCATATGTCCAATGATATTCCGGATCTGTACTAAATGTTTAGTTGAAAAAGGGACTCTTCTTCATTGTCTATGGGAGTGTCCTAAAAAGATGTTATCAAATATCTGTCCGAAGTGTTTAAGGTAAAAATCCCTTTAAAAGGAAAACTCTGTACTTGGAATATATCCAAGGGAATTTAAGCAATCGGGGAAAAAAACTAAATTACTGGACTATGGACTACTTCAAGCCAGAAGAGCCATTGCGCTATGTTGGAAGAGTATGGATGCTCCCTCCATGGGACTCTGGAAGAAGGAAATTGCAGTCTCTCTAGGCCTGGAAAGACTAACATATATTGCCAAGGGCAAACAATGGGACTTTGTGAATATGTGGAAGCCATATATGGATATTTTAGGGAGTGGAGGTGAAGGACATTTATGAAAAAGAAGGGAAGGAAGGGAAAATGTTGTCCATCCTAACCCATTGTATTTTTGTATTACTGTGAGAACGATGCTCATTTCTACATTTGAATGTGATGTAGGCAGGTTTGATGTATGGATGGGTGTGTGAATGTGAGGGTGTTCAACATTTGTTTGTATTGCACTATAAAAAATTTCAATAAAAATATATGGGGGGAAAAAAACAAAAACAAAGTAAGAGGCCAATGTGCGCAAATTAACGAGTAAAATGTTGTGTTGAAACAACATTTTCAGTTTTTCTTATGAAAAGAAATTCCATTTTTTTTATGGATGTAATTTGTTTTAAACTTTGGAAAAAATGCCAGTGTAACTGTTAATGTTCAGATGTGACAAAATAAAACTGCAAGCTTACCAGCATAGACTACGATGCCTACCACCGTTTCAGTGTTGCGTATGGTGCAGCTCCTGAGCAACAGGTTGCCACTATGGAGGCCTACACGAACCCCATTTGAGTGCTCCCTGTGAAACAAAAAACACACACAAACTCATACAAAGACAAAAACAGTTGGCAATACAGTGAATACCAGCCTCTCTATGAGCAGTGCTCATTGTGACCACTTGAACTGGAAACTAAAAGGCGGTCTGAGGGAATCCCTGACACATGGATATTGACTCCGGGAAAAGTAAAAAGGGCTGACATCAATAATAAAAAAAGACACTCACTTGTCAAATTAAAATATTTGGCGTACAATGTGTTCCTAAATAATCCATCCAGGCAGCTGACAAAAGTCTATTTTTGATCGTCACCGTGTTTCCATGACAAGGTGACATCAACTCCAAACAGACAAATAAACAAATGTGTTAAAACACTCAAATGAAAAGAGACTCACATGTAACCTCTAAACCTGCTGAGGTCATTGTTGGGGTTCTCACACTCAATACGACTGTGGAAACTCTCAGGAGTGAACTCTTCTCCCTGCAACACAGACACTTTCTATCAAACATGCAAATAAATACATGTAGAAAGTCAAGTAAGCGAAGACACAAACACACAAAAGAAAAGACTAGCACACACTGTTGTGTAAGAGTCCCTCTTATTAGTGGCATTGCTGCAAAGCAACAGCTCCTTTGTGTGCTGCGAGCGTCTATTCAGACTGTTGAGATTTGATAGTTTCTGAAATGTTCCACTTTTTCTATTGATAGAGTCACATTGACTTTGAATGGAGAGACCAACCTCTCTTCCCTTTAGGCTGAATTTCTCCCACACCATTTGTCCTGCAGACATTGTTGTCACACCAAACTGAGCAGCATGAGTGTGCCTACAAAACCACCTTCTGTCACGATCCTGGGTCTTCTGACCCAGCATTTTGATTTTTCGTTTTTCTTTTTATGTTTAAGTTCATTAGGTTATCTAAGTTCATTTGTTCATTCCCCTTGAGTCTTCTACCCCTGTGTTTTAGCCTCCCTTTGCCCTTTGTGTTTCATGCTGTTTGTCTTATGTTGTCAAGTTTGCATTGTCATGTCTGCGTCTCATGTTTCCTCTTTTATTTTGAAGGTCCATGTCCTACGTCAGTGTAGTCAGCTTTGCTTCCTTTGTCTCGTTAGTGTCAGCTGTTTCCCCATGTGTTTCCACTTCCCCTAATCACCCTTGTGTGTATTTAGTCTGTGTGTTTCGGTTCATTCTTTGTCAGGTCGTCTGTTATTCACGCCATGTTTTGAGGTTTCATGTCCAGGTTTTTCATGTTGTTTGTTTAGTTCTCCCAGATTAGGTTAATGTTAGTTTTATTTCAGCCCTTTGTTTGTACCTTTTTTTACCAGCCTCATTAAACGGCTTGTTGTTAATTCAAGTTTTGTTCCATTTTGTCTGCATTTTGGGTCCTCTACATCACTCCATACAGTCTGCCTCTGCCAGACTGTGACACCTTCTACGGTTTTTGAGTTATTTTAAAAAAAATTTCACCAAAAAAAAAAAAAAAATCTGTCAGACGTGTCAAATGTATTACCTGCAGTGGGAAGTCTGAAACGACTTGTCTCTGTTTCAGGTTGGTCTCCCCATCTAGGTTGGCAGTTTCAATGTAACAAACCCCATGAGGGTCAGAGGAATACAGCAGCAACATGTCAGCTGGGATAATTTCATTACAGGACAAATGAACAAAGTCCCCAACTTGAACATTTTTCCAGCACTGGTCAACGTAGGATTTCTGTGTGCTATGGGACAAAGAGAGAGAGAGAGAGAATTAAGTATCAATCAAAGAAAACAAGTTTGTTGGCACCTCTTGTGGCTGTAATCCCAGAACCAGGTGGTGGACACCGGAGATTAAAGAAGCCGTGCCAATGAGTACCCAGAGGCTCCAGCACCCTGCTGACAGGTACCAGCAGGCCAAGCAAGACAGCATCTCTGGCAAAAGTCTTCGGCCAGATGATGGCCGAAGACTTTTTGGTTGGCTTAAAGCAAAAGTAAAACAGTATGTTGGATGTGCCACGCAATGCTCAATTGGTGGAAACTAGTGCGTTAGCGCAGTTAGCTCGTTAACGTGTTGACGCCGTCCAGCCCCACGCACAGTGCGATCCGCGGTAGCTCGTTAACGGAGATTTGCCGTGTTGTTAACATCATTTCAGATGAACGCTGACAGCACTAGTGGGAACACAGTGAATATGACTGCACGTTTACTCCGACATTATCCTAGTGCAAAGACAAGTGGAAGCAGACAAAAACAACAAGCAGCATGCTGCAAACTTTACCCGAGTCATTTAGACAGCCGTTAGCACAGGATTCTCCTTATGGGGACCTGATATGTTTAATATGCTGCTGAGAATATAGCCCAGAAGAAGCGTATAGTATAGCTTTTATTTTGAAAGAGTCATTTCTCTGTAATAAACTCTCTTTTCCAAAGATGAGGGATTTCTCGATCCGATTTTTTTTTCTCATTATTTTTTTGTTTCAGCAACATTAAATTTAAAAACTGTACTTATGAGTTAAAATAAATTTTTATAATTTTAATAAATGACAAATTAAAAAGGCATGAACATTTTTTTTATCGAAAAGATATCGAACCGTGACACCAAAGTATCGAACCGAACCGTGAATTTTGTGTATCGTTGCACCCCTAATATATATGTGTAATGAAAAATGCACTTTACATGCACTCTTTAAATCTGCGGTTTATTAATTGTCACTGAGCAGCCGTTAGCTTTAAATCTGATCTCTCTTCTTTCGTCCAATGTCTTTCTTGCAACTTTGTCCATCTGTTAGTGAAGTAATCCCTCTTCTCTCCTTAGAAATACAGCAGCTAGACCTTTAGCTAGCAACACACTGTGCAGCAAACTGCACACAGACAATTCGTCGTTTGGTGATGTTGAGCTAATATTAGAAATGTTGCATTTGAAATGTTCTAACAGTTAAAAAACAAAACGTTGCTCCCTCTTCTTCTGTGGGGCTAGATGCTGAAGTGCAGCAATCACAACTTTTTTCTTTTTTTTAGACGAGTACTTCTGACTACAACACTATCGGCCCACTTTAAGCCCTGAGTATAAACTATAAATGATACAGCTGAACTTAAAGTAATGACTTGTTTTGTAAGTGTGAGGAGTAGAAAGTACAGATACTTGTGTAGAAATGTGGGGAGTGAAAGTAAAAAGTTGTCAGAAACATAAATACTCAAGTAAAGTGCAAATACTTGAAAATTAGTATTAGTACTTAGTAATCAGCAGAAGTGAGTAACAAAGTTGAGTTTATTTGTGAATACTGTAAACACTGCTTTCTGTAAAACCCACTGTCATGTTTTTTGTCAAATATAAGTTACATTGTTAGAAGTTACTTATGAATATTTCTGAAAAGTTAAACATCCAAAGAGTTGTTGGACTTGTCAGTTCCTGTTTTGTGGAACCTGCTTTAGTGGAAGTCTTGACCCACCTTTGACCACATCTGGTTTAACAGCACAGAGCAGGGTGAAATACACTAATGCATAATTTCCCTGTAGACTACAATATAGTTGATATGTACATGTTTTTAGCCAATGCTGTGATATTTCAAGGTTCATCCGTGACCGTAGGAACTGTAAAAAAATTAATACTATATTACCTACGAATATATTACAGCTAAGTGACTGAAGTGCTTGACATGACAAAACATACCATCTTTAAAGGGACCAGTGTATTCAGAGCCATTATAATAAAATTGACCCTACCTGCTGTAAACACGACACAGAAGCCCATTGATCAAACGATCAGTCTTAAACCTGCGGTAATCTTCGCAGATATCCTTCAGAGCTGTTAAAGACAGCACCAGTACAATAGGAACCAGAGCGATCTCTGGCTGAAAGGCTTCCACAACAGGGACAAAGTTTAGTGCAGCAAGGAAAATGAAGTAGACGTTAGCGAATCGGTGGAGCTGCTCAAAAACATTCTTGGGCAGAAAGGACAGAAAGGAATACTTTGTTGTCCGGATCTTGTTGCTTTTATACAGCTGTAGGAGCTCCTTCAGTTCCTCATTCTCTGTGAAGGAAGGTACCACAGTCCTCTTCATCCGGTGGTGCTCCTTGGTAGCATGAGGGCAGGATGGTTGCTCCGTGCTGTTCATGAGTCCACTGTTGCAGCCGATAATGTTTGTTAATTTGTCCCTAATCGTAAGCCTTAATTTTCCATGACTGCATACAGCTCTAATCTGAAAAATATTCTCCTTCAGCTTTTATTCTGTTCTTTCTTCTTACTCATCCTGCTGTAGAACTGTTTTCCTTTTCCTATCATACCTATCACGGCTGTGGAAGGCAAGGTGGGAATGATCAAAAGACAGCTGACAGTCTTACAGAATTCACTGCCACTCCTCTAAAGGGAAGCAGTGCTGTAAAGAAACTCAAAGTTCAAGTTTTACAACTGCCAGAAAACACAGATCAGATACATCAGACAGCAGAGTCACAAAGCAAAGATTGTTTCCTGACAGTCCCCTTAAGATCAGATGAGTCCTTGTCCACTGAGCAGAAGGAGTTTTACATTGTTTTTCTATGTTTGACTGTAAAATGTGAAATCTACAGTGCAGTCACTGGCAGCACCCATGTCCCCATTGGCAGAGGTTACAGAAACCATCTATTTTTTAAATGTATATTGTGACTGAGAGCCAGGCTCAGCTTTTTCAGACCTTGGTTATATAAGAGACTGAGCATGTCTTCATTTGACTGATGAGAGTGCAGTGAAAGCTTTCAGCGATGAATGCTATGGTTGCCATGAGCACAGGATTAAGAAAGCAGTCAGAGGGCTTGAGCACTGTCACTGCTTAGCTTTATAAGATTTGCACAGAAAATTAATACTGCTGCAAAAACAGCTGATTGTGGGCAGAGCAAACATGCAAACTCCACACAGGAAGGCTCGACCAGATGGGCATTAGAATACAGAAAGCTTCACTTCCTGCCCAGCTCACACCTTTACAGGCAGCACTTTAACAAGTTCATTCATTTAGTATAGCTGAATGTCCTTAAAACAAAAGAACGCATAATGGACTGCAGGAGGCACAGACAGGTGGGAAGTAACAAAGTATAAATACTTGCCTACTGTACGTATGTAAAATTTTGAGCCCTCTGTACTTTACTTTTTTCTGCTAACTTTTTACTTTTACTGCCTACATTTTGAAACAAATATCTGTACTTTCTACTTCAAAACAGACTGGTTACTTTTGGTTCAGCTGCATCACTTACAGCGTTTATACCCTGGAGTTAGAGGGCCAGAATGAGTGCAGGTGTCCTGTTGTGTTTGCGGAACTACAAAATCTAGCTAGCGGGATAGAAGAGGAAGAAGTATGAGGGGAGTGATGTTCTTTTTAAGTGTCAGGTCATTTTAAATTCACCGTTTCTATCAGCTCAACAAACATCAGCAAACACACAAACTGTCTGCAGTTTGTCGCACAGTGTGTTGCTAGGTAAAGGTCCAGTTGCTGTATTCGACAGGGAGAGAAAAGAAAGAGCGCTAACTTCACTCAGAGATGGATCATACGTGGGATTTGTTTATTATCTGTTTTGATCATTTTTCATATTGTGAAATGTCCTGCATACCAAAATATACAAACTTGTGTTATTGAAATGTTGCATGAAAGTACTCAGAAGTTTTGTGCAGGAAAAACAGGTTAGTTTGCAATAATGCAGAGAATTCAAAGTAAAGACTGATACGTCAATGGGACGTTTCGTCACTCATCCAAGTGACTTCTTCAGTCTCAGCTGACTGCAGGTTTCCCCAACCTGATAAACAGGACATTTGCACAATTCACTGATCACATTAACTTGGTGGACCAAGACATCAAAGGGAGGATATGAAAAGTGGCAGGTTAGCCTTCTTAGACTGTGAGATTTCCATCAGTAATGGGGGACATCTAAAACTGATGTGTACAGTAAACCTACACATACAGGTCAGTATTTAAGGTTTGACTCTCATCATCCACTGGAGCACAAACTGAGTGTCATCAGGACGCTACAACACAGAGCGAACACCATCCCCACTGACACAGCAGCCAGGGAAGCAGAAGAACATCAAGAAGGCCCTGAGTAAATGTGATTATCCCAGCTGGACTTTTGTCAAAGCTGGAAAGGCTCCTAAAGAAAGCTGCAGATGATCCAGGAGAAAAATACAACCTCCGACTAAGAGAAAACCTGCAGTGATCCCGTACGTGTCAGGAGTATCGGAGCAGTTGAGACGCATTTTTTTCTAAACACCGGGTCTCTGTGGCTTTTAAACCCTAAAACACACTGCGCCAAACACTGGTCCACACCAAGGATCGGGTCCTTCGACACAAACAGAGTAACATAGTGTACGCTGGTAAGTGCCAGGAGGGTTGGCAGGATTTATACATCGGGGAAATCGAACAACCTCTGGCGAAGCGGACAGCACAACACAGAAGAGCCACCTCGTCAGGCCAGGACTCTGCAGTCTATTTACACCTACAGGCCAGTGGACACTCTTTCAATGATGAGGATGTAACATCCTGGACAGGGAGGAACGCTGGTTTGAGGGCGGAGTCAAGGAGGCCATTTACATGAAAAGGGAAAGACCATCTCTGAATCGAGGCGACCGTGGCTCAGGGGGTTGGTAAGCTCATCTGTAACCAGAAGGTTGCTGGTTCGATCCCCGGGCTCTCTGCCCTGGTTTTTGTGTCCTTGGGCAAGACACTTTACCCTACTGGTGGTGGCCAGAGGGGCCGATGGCGCGATATGGCAGCCTCGCTTCTGTCAGTCTGCAGGGCAGCTGTGGCTACAACTGTAGCTGCCTCCACCAGTGTGAGAATGTGAGAGTGACTGAATAGTGGCATTGTAAAGCGCTTTGGGTGCCCTGAAAAGCGCTATATAAATGCAATCTATTATTATTATTATTATTATTATTATTATTATTATTATTACTACATCTGTCACCATCTTACATGCTGTGATTGCAGCCAGTCCCCAACTCTCTGTGAATGGGACTCATGCTTATTGATCAATGGTCATGAGAATTTGCATAATTCCCACTGTTCCTTCAGTGGGCTGGTTTCAGTCATTATGCAAATGTCCTGTTTATAAGATTGAAAGCTGCAGTCAGCTGAGACTGAAGAAGTCACCTGGATCAGTGACAAAACGTTTCTCCCTACACAACAGACTAAAGCTTGCATGAGAATTAGAATTTAGATTAGAATGATATTTGTATTCTCATGTGCTAATATTGTTTTATATTAATATAGCACAAAGTTCACTTACTAAAAGAAGAATTGTCCTTCAAGGAACTACTTTTTACTTTCTTACTTTGACTACATTTCAGAGCCTGTACTCACTTTTACTTGAGTAAAGAAGTTTGATCAGTACCTTTTACTGGAGTATTTTCTAACACAGGTATCTGTACTTCTACTTAAGTAAACAAAGTCTGTACTTTTGCAATCTGTGCTCCTGTCATTATAAATAGAGAACGGGTGGAATCTGTCTCCACCTTCAGGATTCTGGGCACCCACATCTCCACAGAGCTTAGGTGGACCCACAAACACCATCGCCCTGGTAAAGAAGACCCAGCAGTGGCTGCACTTCCTCCGTGTCCTGAGGAGGAGTAACCTGGACCAGGAGCTGCTGCTGGCTTTCTACGGCTCTATAGTGGAGAGAGCGTGCTCTCCTCCTAGGGTGCCTGGATGTTACGCAGGAGCCACAACTGAGGCCATCGCCAGCTCCTCTTGTCTCGGGAAAACCAGCGCCATCACAGGCGACCCTCACACCCCGCCCACCACCTGTTTGATCTGCTGGACTCCGGTCGGCGCCTCAGGTCAATCAGATCCCATAGCTCCAGACTCACTAACAGCTTCTTCCTCTGGTTACCAAACACTATCCCCCCACTCCCCACCCCTGCCCACTCATCTCACCAATCTGAACCCCATGATCTGAGCTACCCTCATCACTCAGGCCGCTCACATAAGGACTCCTTTTTGTTGCACTACTTCCAAGCAGTATGCAACTTTTTCTCTAATGTGTGCCTCACATATCCCTCTTGATTGTAAAGATTTCTCCTGATTGCTATTTATATTTTATTCCAGCACAGCTGGTGTGGGGCACCCACTATTTCGCTGTAAATGCACAATGACAATAAAGGCCTATTCTATTCTATTCTAGTCCACGGATTATTCTTATCTATATTAATGCAAGTAAGAAAATTGCATTTCCTGATGAACTGGTCCTTAAACTAAAAGGTTCACTTACCCACAGAATACTCGAACTACATTGTTGTTAACCTTCTTGTCAAACAAGTAGCGTCTGAAGTCTTCAAGGGCATCTTTGATGGCGATAATTATGAGAACCAGCAGCAGAGGAATCATAGTAATTTCCTTCTGAAAGGCTTCAACCACTGGCACCCAGTTTAGCAATGTCAAGAACAGGAAATAGAGGTTTGCAGCCCTACAGAGAGAGGAGCAAATTAGTACATGGAAGTAACAAAATATAGTCACTGCAGTAGTGAAGCCAAATGAGTGGTGACCAGTTATGATGGATGTGGTGTACTGGATAACCAGTACGGATCTTCTGTTAATCCAGTTTACATATCAATTCAGTTCAGTTTCATTCAATTTTATTTATATGGCACCAACAACAGTTGACTCAATTTAATCCACAAAGACTACATTGAAAAGATGTGTAATAGACACAACATATCACACAGCTAACAAAGAGGTGAGCCTCTCAGAAGCTCGACATTCTCTAAATCTCAAATTGTAAAGAATTTAAATTCATCCTCTGTAGTAACTAAAATTGTTAAAAGTCAGGAAATCAAAGAAATGACAAGTACAGTGCTGATAAGCAAAAGTGGTAAAATATATATATATATGTTTGAAAAACAAAATAACTGTCAGGTCTGACCTGTGAAACTGCTCGAACAGATTCATGGGAATGAAAGTCAGGAAGGTGTATTTGGTAGTGGAGATTGCATTGCTTTTGTAGTTTCTGGATACACGTTCATAATCCTGTTGGTGACGCCCATTGCGGGGAAATACCGTCCTCTGCTTCCCACAGACCCTCCCCCGAGGGCTGTGGGTGTTCAGCAAGCTGCTGGTGGGCAGCCCATCAGAGTACCAACCCCGCCTTGAGTCTCCTGCTAGCAGCTGCCGACAGCATTGCTGCACCCAGCGCAGCCGCTCCATCTATGCAGCAGATGTGCTAGGTAGGCTGTGAGGGTACCGAGGCCAGGCTTTTTATGGCCTTTGGCTTCTGTGTGCTTCACGATGATCTTTTACCAAGTCACCATCCTAGAAGGAGAAACGACAAAATTATTATTTTACAGATTAGAGTTAAATGTCAATCAATTGCCTTTGTAATATTCTTGATATTTATATTGAACAACTTGTTTATATATATTACAAAATATAAGAATTCGCTCTAAACTTTGTAATATATCAAACCTGTGTGTGTGTGTGTGTGTGTGTGTGTGTGTGTGTGTGTGTGTGTGTGTGTGTGTGTGTGTGTGTGTATAAAGATTTTAGGTTCCTTATGCATGATAACCAGATGAAGTCAATTTTGAGTGTATTGTGTTGATAAATACAGACGTTCACATATTGACTGAGTAAAAATATAGATGATAAAGGAAAACCGTATTTCTTATCAATGGGGTAAAAGCAACGATGTGACACCACGAGAATCCTGCCATTAAAGAAGTTCCCCTTATGTTTCATGATGATACAATGTCAGTTTGGAAATACACGGAAACTCTGAGCATCTAAGAGGAGGCCTGACATGCTAGTAGCACATCTGAATGGCAGATTTATTGCCAACAGCAGAGGATCTCAGTTCCCCGTTTGCTGTATGAAACATTAAATAACACTTTTGAGTGGAATGACTGGCACATCTACACTCTGTACCTGGATGTAAAGCTGGAAGCATTCCTCCTCACAACAGCAAAATGATACAAAACGAATAAAACAAGCTGAAGGAGGGTTCGCAATGATAGCGAAAAATGAAAACACAAACAAATATGCAATATAATTTTTTTCCTTTCTTTTTTTGGTTCAGCCAATTCAGGAAAACACTGAAAAAGTTGTTGAGACAATGTACAGGAAGATGATGTGCAAGCTACTCCAGAGGTTAACTGTAGGAGCGACTTTGGCTGATTGCAAGTGAAGAAGCCGGGCTGCCACCAGCAGCAGAGCGCCTGCTGCCCCGACAGAGAAAATGTGTGTTTATTTACTTATTAATGCATTTTAAATATGTTGAAATGTTTTTATTCCTTTTCTAAGTGGACTCACCTCAAAAGCACGCTTTTAGTTGCACATTATTGCTTCAACATTTATCACAGATTGTTAGTTCTTATAAGCAGGTCGTCATCCAGGCCTTAATGTGTTTCAGACATGTTTCCAGTTGAATCAGTGTGTGTCACCAGACAAAGCTGGGTGTCATCTGCATAGCAATGAAAATGTGTGCTATGCGTTTGAATGATACTGCCTAAGGGGAGCATGTGTAATGTACATTATTAGGAATTAGGCCTAGCGCAGCTCCCTCTATAATTAAACTTAGTGTCTGGAGGAGACTCCTCCTTTACATGAACAAACTGGATTAGATATTAGCCATCTGTTAGCCAGATATGATTCAAACACGTTAGCTAATGACCTTTAATATGCTCTGATCTCTGTAATAAAATATGATGGTCAACAGTAATAAATGCTGTACTGAGGTCTACCAAGATAAGCATAGAGATGAGTCCACTGTTCTTGCCCATAAGATCATATTAACATTCACTAATGCTTTTTGTACTCTAATGACTTCTGAAACCTCTGCAGATAATCATTAAGCTGTTTGATAACTACTCTTTCAAGAATTTAATTGGGCCAAGGCTGCTGGGTAACGTTATGGCTTATTAAGTGAATGGTCTGTGGTATGTTGCCCATTAATAGATATAAATAGGTCATATTTAAGATTGAAGGATTAATTAATGGTAGAACTCCTTTGAGCAGTCTTGTAGGAATGGGGTCTGAAATATGGTTTGGAGAAAGTTAATTACTGAAGTTAACTGGATGATCCGGGCATGTTAAGGATTATTGTGAATTATTATTATTAATCCTTGTGTCATCCTTAAATTCTGCATCCTTTCCACACCTTCCTGAAGAAAAATGTACACACACAAAATCTACCATAAAATCCTCATATAGCAATATTTCTTCTACAAACACTCACACACAGACACACACATCCTCTCTCAATCCATTTATCTGTTTCTCTCAAACACACACATATTCAAAGCCCATCAAATTTGTTCACACTTCACAGGTTCTGTTATTGAAGTTATCAGTGTTGTTGTGGTTTGCACAATAAATCTTTCCAAATCACTCTCGGGGCTCCCTGGTGGTCACACGGCTCCGTAATATGACTGGCAAAAATACAAGAATGTCATACATTGGCCCACCAGGGGAAATGGTTGAAACTGGTGGAACGCAGTAAAAATGTCAAATATCACCACTTTTCTTTGAAATGAAACCCTGACATGACAGAATGCATGGCTTTATACTGAACAGGAGTGAATGGAGCATTTTTGTCCAGAACCGTGTGGAGAGCACTAGACAAAAAAATAGTAATGCAACCAAATTAATTGTGTTGCTCATCTTTGACATGTCCAAGACTCTAGTCGCCACCAATACCCCATCACCAAACTATTTATTATATGGAAAATACTTTGGATTTTGTGAGTTATTTCAATAAAATACTAACAATTCAAATGCTTAAACTGGCATTTAAATGGTTACAATTCTGAAAATAATTTAATGTTTGATCTCTTTGAAAAGGGCTCAGTTTAATTGATTTGTTGTATGAGGGTTTTATGGCACATTTTGCTCGTGTACATTGTTGTACACGCCAAATGAAAAACAAAAGGCCGGTGAGGCACAGAAGGCACACGTGTTATTATTACTCTCACGTCGCAACTTTCACTGTAACTGTAACTCATTTAAACCCTACACTGCAACCTTCTACGTGACCTGACGTGCACCTCCACAGAAATGTAGCTACACGTCGGGTCACAGCACACAAAAATGACTTTAAAGGCGTGGAAGGTTGCGGTGTACGGAGCAGTTTCCGGTTACGGAGTTAGGACGTCGATTTGCCGCAGAAGTCTAAATCAAGCTTCAGCTTACTATGGTATGCACGTCCTGGTGCGAACCATACAGCGGTTTTTCTACACTACTTCTGCAAAAATAACTGACCCGTTTGCGGCCTTTCCAGAACATGAGTTGTGGTAATTGTTTTAAACAATTGACCCTAATGACCATCGGTTTTACCACTATTAACCTTTACACCACAGATTAATTAAGTCCCCATTTAAGTCTTTACAGCACGTCAAATAGAAAACTAACGTTTACTGCACGGCACCGTTTGCATTAGAAGGGGGGGGGGGGTGGCTTACTGGGCTTAAGCCCGGGTTGTTTTGTCAGAAGCCCGGGGTCTTTTGGAGTGTAATTTTTTCATAGTTAGATGTCTGGCTGACAACTGTATAAAACAAAAAGTACACACAATATTCGAAGCACATAGTGCACACTGTGGGAATTTACGACTGTGCGTGAATCCCCCCTGATATTGGTATGATCCGAGCTCAGGCACTAAGCGACTGAGCGAGGGGGCGGGGCAGCTGCTGCCTGTGAGTGCGCTGTTGGAGAAACGGAGCCAGCCATACTAAGGAGAGCTTAAGTTTGACCAGGTACCAAAGCAAATCATTCGTACCGTACAAATAATGTAAATATGACGGTGAATCACGAAAGATTGATATCAAACTGATCACTTGACCCATATTACGTTACTTGCTCTTCAAGTGAATCAACAAATGAAAAGCCGAACAACAACAACAATGCTGTTTCTTTAGAGAGTCTTAGCTTACATGTGTGTTTATTTCATATTTTCAGTTGTTACCCTCCACAGCTAAATAAATCGGTTTCAGTAATGCACTGATATACAAGAATGGACATAAGGAGCTTCTTTCAAAGAAAAAACTCTGGTAGTATTTTATATATTATGCTTTGTATGTTGTTCAGTATATTTCTATGCAAAACAAGAGGAACTTCAATACACAGCAGTATATTCACAGTTGAAACCAGATATTTACATACACTTTATGGAAAACACAAGAACATTTTTTTTACTGTACAACATCAATTTAGAGTAAACTTGTTTTGTTTTGGATAAATAAATATTGAAATATCTTTTGAATTAGTTAAATGTCAGAATAAAGAGAGACAGAGCTTCTATTTTTTATCACTTTCATCAAATTTAGGAGTACATGTACACTAAGTTTATTGTTAATTAATAAGAAAACTCCAGACGATTCCATTCTGAGCTGAAGAAGCTTCTGATTGGTTAGTAGAGTCCATGTGAGTAAATTGGTGGCACAGCTGTGGATGCATATAAGGCAAAACACAGAGCCTGTTTCTGTGACATGGGAACATCAAGAGATGTCAACCAAAACACCAGGAACAGAACTGTGGAGCTCCATAAGTGTGGCTCAGTTTGAATACAATTTGGTGCCATTTTGACAATTAAGAAATACAGACAGTTTCTCTCTTTACTCTTAAAGTTAACAAATATGTTTTTTATATTTATCTAAAAAAATAAACATTTAGTCTGATTTGATGTTACAATTAAAAAAGTGTTTTTATCTGAAGAGTAAATATCTGGTTTCAACTGTATATTTGATGATGTTGGTGTTTGGCTTGATTGTCAGCACAGAGGGAGAGAGAGGAACAGCGAGAGAGAGAGGGAGAGAGAGGAGCAGAGATGAACAAGAGCAGGTGAGACACACATGTTAGTCAAATGGTCGTTTACCAAAAGTATCACCGTATCACAGGTCCTCATGTATCTCGTACCTAGTGTTTCTTTTTAGGTTTGTTACTTTTCAAATTCTATATTTATTAAGTTCTGCAGCTTGTTTGCACAACAAGGCTAAATAATTATATAAACCTTTCTCAATCTAAATATTGGACTTTGGTAGAATTAAAAAAATAAGTGTAGTGCAGGTCTATGATGATTTTTAGTGCTGCTATCATCTAGTTCTGATTCTGGTTCAGTCTTGGTTAAGTCCTCAGTAGTCCTGATTTTGAACTGTTGTAGTCCTGTTTTAATTCTGGATCAGTTCTGGGTCTGGTTGAATTGGGGTTTAGTCCTCGTGTCTTGATACAGCCAGACTTTGTTCTGCCTCGCTGCTTAATTAAAAAACTAGTTTAAGGTGTCCTGCACATGTGATATATATTTTTCCCTATATGAAGTCATTCTTTTTTGAATAAAACTCAAAACAGAGCCTATTAATCTTTCTTTTCTTTTCATTAATCCCCCCATCACACATGCATGCTACCATTTAAGGCTAAGCCCCGGGTGTATCAATGTCTGCCTCTGCTTAGAAGTGAAAGAGACTGTAAAGACTTTAAACGACTCCATACTCGAAGTTGTGGAAACAGCTTTAAGCTACCACAATCAGCTGTACACTCAAGCTGTGTTAAGCGATTACACAGAGGTCTCGATACTCGGCCAACTACAAAAGAAAGTGTCTCCGTCCAGCAACTTAGAGGCCTACAGTTGTTCGTTGCTTATATTGTTGCTACTGTAATGAATGGACAAAGTCCCCGAGTGCGTTCACGCCTCTATCTGAAAAACAGACATTTTTCTCCAGCAGTTATCGACAGAAAACACGTACCTGCTGTTTATTTCCTCACGCCGCCCAATTTTAAGTTACTACCAGCAGTAAATGCAGCCTGTAGATTCGGTCACATCGTCGACAGACAGTACCGAGAAACAAAGCAGGATGTGAGAAATAGTCGCTCAGCCACGAAACCTTTCGCTCTACAGCGGAGTGTCGTCCAACCGAATTCCCAATGCAAAGGCACAAATGTCATATTGTCTTCGATGGCAGGAGCATGTTAGTAGCTTTAACTGAAATAGTCTGCGAACCATCTTTAATCTATGAACCAGGGGGTGTCCGTTTTTTCATCCAAATGATCTGACGGAAGTACTGTGGGAATTCACTTTTGCAGCTATTCCCTGAAAATGTTTCCACATTTTCAGCGGTCGCGGCTACACCACATTATTAGGCTGTCATCAGTGTGGCAGTTTTACTCTTGATATATATCCGCATAAAACATTTCTCCTGGGTTTTCTGTCTATTAACTATTTGCTTGAACTCTTTGGAGGCGATTGCGATGTTTGGGTTTATTTTCCCCGAAGCGTTCTGAACGCAACCATGTAAGTCACGTGACTGACATCAGCTGATCAGTAGTGCTGATGGCGGAACTAACTGAAAACATGGTGGTTTTACTGAGTGCATTAGCTAACAAGGACTGCCGAAAAGTAAGTCGTGAAATGTGATTTAGTTTTCGAAATGTCCACCAGAGCCACGGGCGATTGTACCTCGGTAAATACTAAGATATGTAAGTCAATGTTTTAGATTTCTCCATGAGAGCTCCGATATTTCAGCGAAGGCATTTGTTTAGCAGCCCATCTATTGCCCACATATTGCTTCTGAATGTTCTCGCTACATGTGTTATCTGAATGAGCATCTATACCTCTAGCACCATACTAATAATGGGGTGGCTGCAGCTTAGGAATTAGAGACAGGTGTCGTGACAAGGTAGGTATCCCCGACAGAATGGGGAGCACGCGCCGGGCTGTCCAAATGTGGGGCAAACAGTGTCCCTCATTCTTGATTTTCTGTTCACAAACACTTCTTATAATGACTGACTACTCCTGAAATTTTGAAGGTTTTAGCTCTTTATACAGTAAAGTTACAGGAGGAAGCAAATAATTATCAGCTGAAATATGTTTTCCGATAACACGTGAACACAATAAATGTGTTATTTTCAGTTGTAACCCACAAACGTAACGGTAACGCAGCGACACTCATCTTTCACTGTTTCACTAACGTAAAACTTCCAATGGAAGCGAAGTCAACTGCATCCGCGCTCCCTGTCCAGCGCGCGCTCCCGACGCCGGGGAAGCGACCTACCTTGGCACGACATCTGTCATATACTGATCAAAGGGTTGGTCGTAGGAAAAAAATGTGTTTGTGTGAAGAGCGCTTTGAGTAGTGATGGGTCAGATGATACCGAAGCGTTGGTGCGTGTATCAAGCACAAAGGGTGAAAGCCCGTGGGTGGATTGCTGGAGGAAAAGTCACATGACTGATGTAGCTGGTGATAAGGTGTCAAATTATATTTATGGGGAAGTGCAACTTTCGACTCATTTGCATCCGAGCTGAGAGGAACAGAGGAGGCTCTTTGGTGCTGTTAATGTTTTTGGCTCGTCATCACCAGAGGTGACAAAAGTACAAACTTTCTTTACTTCAGCAGAAGTGCAGATGCCTGGGTGAAAAAACACTCAGTAACACCTAAAGTACTTGAACAACGTTTTTACTTTAAAGTAAAAGTGAAAAAGTGCAGGCTCAAAGTAAGAAAGTACAAAGTAATATTATTATTATTATTATTATTACATGAGGGTTGTTATATAAGGGTTGGCAATATAGCCACAAAATCATATCGCAGCATTTCAAAGAAATTTGCAATAATGATGATATGTCTGAATATAAAAAAATAAAACTCGTTGGTGATTGCAGCTTACAGATGGCAGTGTTTATTAGTGCAAAGAAAATGAAGGGCATTTCCATCCTTCCTACTTACTGTGACTGATGACACACTACCAAACAGAAAGACCTCAGAGGATAGGATTAGGTTAGGGATGGGGTGAAACCGAGGCACATGATCTCCTGCGGCAACCCCTACAGGGAAGCAGTCAAAAGAACAACACAATAATGTCAAATATGTAAATTAATAGGCCTACTAGAATGTTTCATGTGTCGCACTACCAAGCGCCAAACTAGGATCCTCACAGTATTTCCTTGTGTTTAGCTGTGCCACAGGGTGGTGGATAGTCTGTGTGGGCGGGAGCCTCCTCACAGAGGGGATTACAGCGCCACCTGGAGCCTGCAGGAGTGGCTGCAGCTGCTGGACTCGCTGACAGCTCTGTTCCGTTTGGCAGTGGTCAACAACATCTCCGATGAAGTGGTGAGAAAGTGAAACAGGTTGGAAAGGATATGAACTGGAGTGTGTGGTTTCTGGTGCAATGATAGTTTGAGTACATAGGGACTGAACAAACTAGCCACAGTTTGCTGCATGCAGTCGATTGGTCATTCACTCAGCATTACCATCCATCCAACATGATAATACAGCCATTTGTGATCAAAGTTGCTGCTAAAAAAACATGGCGAATGACCAGGTGGGAATAGCAGGTGTGGGAGTGAGCTGTAGTCAGGAAGTAGAGAAGGTTGGTGATTGGCTGCTTCGGTCTACGTGCTAAAGTATCCTTGGGGAAGGTGCTGAACCCCAAGTTGCTCTCTCTGATGCAGTCACTGGATCAAAAGCGAGAAAGGTGAATATGAAATTGAAGCATGTTGTATAAAGCTCATGTAGGTTAGACAAGCACCATGTCAGAACTAATCTATTTTAAACAGCTGGTTCTGTTCAGATTTTACAAATGTTACATGTCACGAGTCAGCTTTTATGAAACGGAGACTTTGAATGTTTGGTTTCAACCATCAGCGTGACCCTAGTTTAATACAGGAAGAAATTGTCTTTACTTTTAATAATAGTTACAGTCCAGCTCGATGCATGGTGAGTGGGGTTCTTTTAGGGGAGATTTTCAGGTCTTCTCTGGCCGATTGTGTGCAGGTGCTGTCCCAGTTGTCAGATGTGAGCAGCAGCCAAGCTGAGGTTGTGTTGAGTGTGCTCAGAGCAAGAGAAGAGGAGATCCGCTGCGCCCTGCTGGACAGAACCAACTCCATCTCCTCTGCTACTCTGCAGGACTTTGATTGGCAACTTAAGGTGACTAGTTATTTTTCAGCATGTAGTGGAGATATCATCTGAATTTCAGGAGCGGGACCACTCCTCCTTCACGCCCCCTCCGGCCTCAGGCTATAAAAGCCCCCCTTCTCCATTACCTGCTGTTCTCATTTTCATGCCCCACCCTGCCCCCCCATTTTTCCCTGTCTTCTCCTCTCTTCCTTTCCTTCATTCATTTCTCGTTAGTACATGGGGATCTGCCCGGCCCGAGAGCCGTCGCCAGTCCCCTTCGAGGCCTTCCCCAAACCACAGAACCAGTCACACTTCCACATCGCCCATCGTTAGCCAGGATGTGGTGCCAGCTAGTGAAGCTGACTTACTGTTTACTGCAGATATCGTTCTAATTTAAATATCACATCGTAGCTTAACATTCAAAACTGAATGAAAAGAAGCAAAAGCATCTGAATATTTACAGCTGTGGATCTCGACCTGGCACTCCCAGCACAGGAATGTCTGGAATCAGCTCTCTGCTTAAAAAGTCTGATTCCTGTGAGTACTACGCAGTAGAGGAGGAGGAGACTCGTTCAGCTTTAACTGCTTCTCAGTCTAAAATATAAAACATGTTTTGAGTTATTTCACACTTTTACTACATATTTCCATATGTGTTTATTCATAGTTTTGAATTTATTTATTTAAAAGGGACAGCGCAGTTATACATAGTTCAAGTGCAAGACATGAGACTGATGTACCGCACACAGGTTTATAGCTACTGCTAATTTTCAACAATTGTCCCTTGTTGGGCTCACAATCTAAATAAATACATATTACAATAAAACATATATTTTCATAAAACTAAACTAAAACTAAATTACATCAAATACAATTACAATTCAGAGACAATAATTTAAAATAAAATTAAAATCATCAGATAAAATGACTACAACTTTGGTTTCCCTTTAACCACACTTTGACCTTCAATGTAAAGGATCTAATGTCTGTAATCAGTTTGATATCGGTTGGAAGTGTGCTCCACAGATGCCTTTATAGAAAAAGCTGACTGACCGAATGTAGATCTGCGATATAATATCTTGCAGTTGCCGTTCACCTTACTCCTAGTAACACGATTACTGTCTTGTCTCTGAATGTATCTACTGAGACACTCTGGGGCCATCCTATTTATACATTTAAAAACTAATTTAAGATAACACCAATGATTAAAACTCTTAAAACTAAGTAAGTTATATTTCTGTAAAATGTGACAGTGATGCCACCGAACCGATTTTTTATCCATTATTTTTAAGGTTTGATTATATAAGGACACCACAGGCTGAAGTGTAGATGGTGCTGCTTGGGTCCAAACTGTCATACAATATGAAAAATGAGAGAATATCATAGAATGCATGAATAACTGAGCTGCTGAAGTGGGTATATAGTGCCGAATTAACTTGAAACAATTCAGATTAGCGTTGACCGTCTTAGAGATCTTCTTTACATGCTTGTCAAATTTAAGATGCGAATCTAAAATTATTCCTAAAAACTTAAAATCTTTGACCTCCTTTATTTCTTCGTTCCCTGGGTTGATTTTAAAATCATCAGATGAACTTCGTTTCCTAATCGAAAAACACATAGAAACTGTTTTGTTTTTTTTTTAAATTCAGTACAAGATGATTTTGTTCCAGCCACTGTTGGACATCATTTAAATGTACCGTTAAGGTGTCTGCTGCTTCACCAGGTGACTTAGCTGCTACGTGTATAACTGCATCATCTGCATAAAGTTGGCAGTTGGCTTTTGGGCAGCTGTTAGGCAAATCATTTATAAACAAACTAAACAGCAACGGGCCAAGAACAGATCCTTGGGGAATACCCATTCTGTTTTCCAACATGGACGACTTTTCTTTATCAGCCCTCACACACTGCTCTCTTTTGTGGAGATAGGACTCAAACCAGTCAACTGCTTGCTTTGAAAAGTCAAATTTTATCAACTTAGAAAGAAGTATGTCATGGTTGAACACTGCACCCACAACACTACCATTATCCAGATCACACTTAATATTTTCAACAAAACAGCAATTTGCCATTTCTGTGGAAATTTTTGGTCTAAAACCAAACTGCATTGGATGAAGCCGTTGATTAGTCTCTAAGTAATCAATTAACTGTGCTGCCACAACCTTCTCAAGCACCTTCGAAAGAACAGGTAGTATGGAAATTGGACGATAATTACATATCAAATCACGCTCGCCTCCTTTAAAGACCGGAGTAACTGCAGCCCTTTTCCAGTCAGTTGGGAACGTCCTATTTCTTATTGATAAATTTATAAGATGTGTTAATGGTTTTGTCTAGAAATCTCTATATTTTTTTAATAAAACAAGTATCCAAGCCATAAACATCCTTTGCCCTAGAATCTGATAATTTCTTAATAGCCTCTGTGACCTCTGCTTCATTAACCTCTTCAATAAAAAATGAGTCTGATGAATCGATAGGTCTATTTTTAATAGTTACAACTGGAGAGCTGAAATTTTGCATTAATTCTTCTACAGATTGTATAAAATATTTGTTAAATTCCAACAAACATGTTACTGGTAGTGTAGTCATGGCTTTCTGTAGTAGTTGTTGTTAGTGATGTGTACCAACACTCCCTCTACAAAACACAAGTGATGGCCTTAACTACACTGAGAATGGCAGAGGCTCTAAAACTTAACATGTTTTAGTTACTGAAAACCTCGTGAACCGGGTCATCTAGAATCTGAAATATTACGTTTCAAATAAATTAGCCAAATGTTTTGTCTTTATTTTGTAGTTTTGACATCTTAGTTTTGATTGAGTAGGTGTGTCCAAACTTTAGTAGCTTTGCTTTGTGGTTTTTGATCATATAGAAATCAGAAGTTTTTTTCCCGCAGAGGTGGTTATCACTATTTCAAATGATAATATGAAATTTTAACCTTTCCAGATAGTTGTTCATGTTCATGACTACCACCATATAGAACTTTACTGATAAGGGATTATATGGATAATTTTATGCAATCACAAATTCAGGCAAGCAAAAATAATTCTAAACAAACATTGGCAGAGCACAGTGGCCTGTCGACCTGTCAGCAACACTGGGATCATTTATAGCTCATGTTTCATTCGTGTTTGTAGAAGGCAATTTTTATCCCACTGACTGGTCAAAGACAGCCGCATGAGTCAGTGAGCTGAATTCTTAACATTGTTGTTTATTCTGGTAGCATCGGTTTGACAAAGATCATACTCATTGTCAGATTTCCTTGTAAGCACAGACATTTCATCTCTTCTATGTTGTTTTTCTCGTCTGTTCCTTCAGTTAGCTCTGTCCAGTGATAAGATATCATCTCTCCACACACCTCTGCTCAGTCTCAGTCTAGATGTGCGAGAAAATGGAGTCCTCCGGCCTGTCACTTTGGAGATGAACAGAGATGAGCTAGGCATGCTCATCAGTTCATTAGAGTCTGCTAATAAGGTAAAACATATTAAATGCATTAGAGATATATACACACTACTATAGCACTACTATATACACTTTTCTTAGGAGTGCATATGGTAGTATAGCCCTTTGCAGCATCTATTTAAACATATGCAAGTATCTTGGGTGTGACATTATTTCCAAAGTATTTGTGCAAACAGTAAATATTTGCACTTCCATTCGTTCATCCATTTCCTTAACTGCTTGATCGAATTCAGTGTCACACAGCTCACAAGGCCAGATACACCCTCGACATGTGGTCAGTTTGTGTTCACATTCACATCTACTGCCAGTTTAGGATCATTAGTTAACATAACACGCTTGTCTTTGGCCTGTGGGACAAACCAAGAAGAACGCACCCAGGCACAGGGAAAACAAAGTTGACACAAAGTCCTCAACCCAGTCGTAATGATTTAATGGTCTTCATGTCTTGCAGGTAGTGTTGCAGCTGAAATGATGGAAAAATTGTGGATTACTAATCTTCTTGAAGACCACAGAGCATCCAGAGGAGGAATATTATGTTCCTCAAGTGTGTGAAAGAGGAGCTCCCATATTTTGGACAGGGTCCTGTAGGTTCCAGCCATAATGATGTGATGAATGTTCCGTCATGTGCTGGAGCAGTTGGATACCTACACTTTGTTTTCCTTTTGTTTTTAGTTTTTTGCACCATGTTCAATAAATGTTTATTTTGCATTTTGTACTGTTGAATTAAGTGGTGTTTATTGATTTTAGCAGCAGTATTAACTGACATGTAAATCCAAAGTACCAAAACGAGATAAACTAGTTTTCCCTTCAAGAGGGAAATTTTCACTTTTATGTGTATTTTACAGTCTGTTTAATTTCATTTTTCATGAAATTGGCACTCCCATATTCACACATTACTAATCTACATTTGGTATCTAAAATGTAACAAAAGTGAAAATACATTTTAAGAAATGTTTTACATCAAAACTACCTGCTGAAGTTCACACCAAGCTCCGTAATGGGAGGGAAGGTGATTTAAGTGACTTTCAGTGTGTCATGGTTGCTGGTGCCAAACGGTCTAAATATTTCAGAAACTGGGATTTCTTTCAGGTTTACAGAGAATCACCAAAGTAAAGAAAAAATATTCACTGAATAGTAGTTCTCTGGGCCTTATTGATGCCCGAGGTCAGAGGAGAATAGTCAAATTGCTTTGATATGATAGAAAGGCAACAGTAACTAATAGTAAGTAATAATAATAATAAACACAACACATAGAACACTCATTTGTTATCAGTTGCAAATCTTAGCAATATATCTAGCTAACATAGACAATTAAAGGCATCCACCGGGTGGTCTCTACTGGCTCGTTGCTCTTAAGGAAGCGGCTTGGGAGCAGCAGTTCTCGGAGGTTGGCATCAAGCCTGACATACAAAGAAACAAGCTAATCAAGGGCAACAGGTAAATGTTTTGCAGGTTACTCAGGCCATGGAAGAAAGCATCACAAGTGTTTTTTCCTTCCACCCTTCAGTCCACTGAATAATCCACCACAATTAGCTTTTGCTGCAGCAAATTGTACATGCAGTGAGCAGTTACATCAAAGTAGGTGTTTTAAAAAACACACCCTTTGTTAATAAATTTGGCATACGACAACTCAGAATTTGAGTTTATGACAACCTGTGCTCATTGTAGGATTCTGCCTGTCAAGAGATTGTATAGGTTATAGGTTAGTTTAGCAAAATCTGAGGTTCACACGTTCAGTGAAGCTGCTTGGAAACTAACATTCGTTAAAAAACCTTGAACCTTTTCCAGCTCAGCGGCGAAGATTTCAGGTGAAGGCAGAGCTGTTTCAGAGGGCTCTGTGTGGAGGAGATGGAGTGAGCAGAGGGGACATCTGGGCAGTGTGAGGAGCTGCAGATGAAAACTCATTTTGACAACAAATGAATTGCGTCATTGCATTGAGCTCAACTACCTTTTCGAGCAGAATGTCTTGGTTTAAAGCGAGGCAGTAAGGGACAAGCTCATTCACCTGTACTTCTTTAGTAGGTGATTGTTCTGTAATTAACCAGCAGACGGCTTATGCACATAAGGTAGGAGGGAAGTGCAGACAGCTGGGGCAAACTAACACAGGTGCAGACAACACAAAGAAGCAGGGGAGGAAGTAAAACCAAACAGACTGGACAAGAGATAAATGGCACAGTGAGAAGCAATGTCAGGAAATGAGAAGCAATAACTAAATAGAGGAACAAAGACACAGAACTAAACTAAACATATACACAGCAGCAACACTGACTAATTTATCATATTTAGTAGGAATGGTAAACTTGGAAGGCTTAAGAATTAGGATATAAAGATATAAAGATTGGAAAGGTTCGTGATTTGGATTGTTTGAAGGTAAGATTTCATTTTGATATCACAGTGAAAATTGCTAATCTATGTGCTCTGATTTCCAATTCCATCCATCCATCTTCATCCGCTTTATCCGAGGCCAGATCGCGGGGGCAGCAGCCTAAGCAGAGAGGCCCAGACCTCCCTCTCCCCAGCCACCTCCTCCAGCTTATATCTCTCGGCTGGCCAGGGGAAC